GAAAAGAAAAAAAATAAATAAACAGAAAGTGGGAGAAGGGTACAAATTAAATAAGTTAATGAAAAATGTTTTTTCCGCCAAGCTGGAGGCATAGGTGGAGACACCATGCTTCCTCAAACAACCAAGTTTAGAGACAACTAAATATTAGCAACAGAAAACACAGCCAGAACACAGAAAATTGAACTTTTCGGAAGTCTGATAACAACAAATTCCTCAGCCTGACCGGTAAGAGGGGCGAAACCAGCAGCTGGCGGAGCAGGGTTGCACAGGAAAACTCGGTCAGACGGACTCAGGCGCACGGAATCCAGGCGCAGGGTTGGACCTGGTGGGCAACTCAGCGAGCGACCGCGGAGAAACAGCGAGAAACAGCGAGGGAGCAGGGCTGCGGGTTGACTGTGGTCGCGCATTCGTGCGTGGATAGACAAGCGAGGGAGTGGGAGATTGGACGGGACCCAGCAGGCCCCAGTGGGGAGCGGCAGCACAGGGCGCGGCCATTTCCCCGCTCTGACCCCACCTCCACATACAGTGTCATAACCCAGCGACCTAAGTGGCCCTGCCCTGGTGAACAACCTGAGGCTCTGCTCCTCAGCCAGCGGCAAGAAACAGCAGAGGGGGCCACCATTTCCCCGCTCTGACCACGCCCCCACATACAGCGTCACAACCCAGCGACCTGGGAGTCCAAGGCACCGCTCCTCATACTTAACGGGCATGAACAGACCAAAAATGACTCAAAAAGATCTCAAAGCCCCAGAGCCTATAAATCTAAGCAATGAAGAAATAGCAAAACTCTCAGACACATAGTTTAAAACACTGGTGATCAGGATCCTCACAGAACTGGTTGACTATAGCCACAAATTAGAGAAACATATGAAGGCGAAACTAATTGAAATGAATGGAATTGGATAGGAAACCAATAGCTATGAAAAGGAAACTGGGATTCAAATCTATGGAGTGGACCAGAAGAAAGCAAATAATGGCCAAACAGAAAAGAGTCAAGAAGCAAGAATTCAAAAAAATGAGGAGAGTCTTAGGAACCTCTAGGACATCTTTAAACACACCAACATCCGAATTATAGGGGTACCAGAAGGGGGAAAGGCACAGCCACCAGTGGAAAACTTATTTGAACAAATAATAAAGGAGAATTTCCCCAATCTGGCAAAGGAAATAGACTTCCAGGAAATCCAGGAAGTTCAGAGAGTCCCAAAGAAGTTGGACCCAAGAAGAAACACACCAAGGCACATCATCATTACATTAGCCAAGATTAAAATGAAGGAGAGAATCCTAGAAGCAGCAAGAGATAAGGGGGACAGTCACCTACAAGGGAGTCCCCATCAGACTGTCAGCAGATTTCTCAAAAGAGACCTTACAGGCAAGAAGGGGCTGGAAAGAGGTATTCCAAGTGATGAAATCCAAAGACCTACAACCAAGATTGCTCTATCCAGCAAAACTTTCATTTAGAATGGAAGGACAGATAAAGTGCTTCTCAGATAAGATCAAATTCAAGGAGTTCATCATCACCAAGCCCTTATTATATGAAATGCTAAAGGAACTTATCTAAGAAAAAAGAAGTTAAAAAAACATGAACAGTGAAAGGACAGCAAACTCACAGTTATTAACAACCACACCTAAAACAAAAGCAAACTAAAAGGACAGCTAGATCAGGAGTGGAAACATAGAAATGAAGATCTCAAGGAGGGTTAGCAACAGGGGAGTGTGAGGAGGAGAAGGGGGGAGAAAGAACAGAAAATAAGTAGCATAGACAGTAGGTAGTAAATAGATGGGGGGGCAAGAATAATATGGGAAATACAGAATCTAAAGAACTTGAGACACATGGTCATAAACTAAAGGGGGGTAATGGTAGGGATGGGGGGGTAGGGTGGAGGGGAATGAAGAGGGGAATAGAACAACTGTAATGGCATAATCAATAAAAATAAATAAATAATTAAAAACATATCTGAAAAAAAAAGAAAAATGTTTTTAAGGCTGAGAAAATTTTTTTTAAAGCAATGGAAAGGATAGATAAATCCCGATGTTATTTCCAAATGTCTATAAAATTGAATCACTCCTTGAGAAACCTAATTAAAGAAAGTGAGAGCAATGGTTTGTTATTTAATAAATGATATAGTATAACTATCCCTCAGGAAGGCGATATTGGGTGCCCCAACACTATATATAAACTACATTCGAGGTGCTTTCAAGAGTTTCTATTAGCCCAGACAAAGCCTGAAGCCATAACCATTCTAATGCAGAGATTTAAGTATCTGTTACCCACTACTTTCATTTTCTATAGAACAAAACCCTAAACTGTCATTTAAGGTCCCCTGAAGTTCTTTCCCATCTGCTAGCATCCTTTCCAAGTACCTAACTTCATTTTGCTACTTGTCAACTTCTTCACTCTCGCCTTGCAAATGTTTCCTGCCCTTCTGTTCTCAGTCTCTCGTTTGTGCTCCCCTACCTCACTGAGTCAGGGGTGAGTCCACGGACACAAATGGTTGGCCTTGCACGGGACTGAGTTGCAAGCCTCTCTGTCCCACGGCCTGGGAAGAGGTACGGTGACCGGCTGTTTCCTTCCTGTCCACCAAGGCTCCGGGGCTGTGCATCCAGGTCAAATGACTTCTAAATGGTACTTACTGGTCAGGAAGGACTAGCCACCTTTATTATTTCGAGATTGTCAGTATATTCTCATTCCTTGAGAGAACAATTATAACACATACTCTGCGTGTGAATTAGCCGAAAACAAACCTAGACAGAACTTGAAGATTGTTTACTCTCTCCTCCCTCCTCTGTGCAGTAATGTACTCAAACCGATACAGCAGTCTAAGATTTTATAAGCTCGCTATAAGACCCTGTAGAAAATGAACTCTAGCATTTCTTACGTCTTATAGATGCTGCAGCATAAAGTTATTATACAAGTTATCAGAGTGGTCCCTTCTGGCATTATTCAAGTCATAAATTCTCAACCAAATTATTTTTATGTTTTTTCAACTTAGTCTGATGGTCGAAAAAAGAACCAAAACCAAAAATTCAAACAGAGGAATAACTAGTAGTCACATTTCATCCAGAATAGAAGGCTAGCCAAGAAAGATATCCCAAAGTACTCATCATATCTAAAAAGAAATAAACCCAATTAAAAAAATTTTAATAGGTTTTTTTACAATTTCAGTACAAACTAACACTTCAAATAAACATTACAAAGTTTTTAGTAATTGCCAAGTCAGTCAATAAATAATTTTTGCAGTTCCCCTTTCTGAAGAAATCACTTCATTATAAAGAAAATGTTTTAATACATTTCTTTGCTTATACACGTCAAGAGAATTTTATTAAGTGTCTTGAATTTCAATAACTTGAAAACTTTTACAAGAATTGCTTAGGCAGATGCTTTAATCTCTCAATCATGTACTGGAACAAATTTTAAAAGATTTTACTTTTTAGCAAGAGGGGAAGGGAGAAAGAGAGGGAGAGAAACACCAATGTGTGGTTGCCTCTGCCACGCCTCCTACTGGGGACCTGACCCACAACCCAGGCATGTGCCCTAGACTGGGAATCAAATCGGTGATTTGCAGAGTTTGATTGCAAACCTTTGGTTTGCAGGTGCCGGTGCTCATTCCACTGAGCCACGCCAGCCAGGGCCATTTACTGGAACAAGTTTTAAAAATATGCAAGATGTTGGAGATTATGTTGTAAAAGGCAGAATAGTAACTTGGAGTGACAGAGATGATGTTGAATTGTAAAGTACTGAGTTTACAACACTCTGCGGTGAACCGTAATGTCTTACAGAAAAGTAATGAAATGAACTACAAGCTCACAAGAAAACACCCTGTGTGGGGGCATCAAAGAAAAACAAAAAATACAAATACCACAGAATGAAATCCCCAGGACGGCAGAAGCTCACTGTTGAGATCATTCAATGGACGGCTGCTAACCTAGGAAACTCACCATCTCGTGAGCATTGATTTAAAATGCTAAGGAACTCCAAGTGTCTTTTTTAAAAGAGAATGTTGGTGTGAGAACCCTCTATGCACAACTCTGTGTGTTCACTAACCTTGAACACCCACGACCACACAACGTTTGTTCAATCCTTCATGTTAAACTACTCGTCATTTTTCTTGTGACCTGTCTCCTGAGGTCAACACAGTTCTGAGTGTCACTACTCACTGTCCGGTTCTTAAGTGCCACCTGTGTGTCGGGCACGCATCTTAACTGAAATCCTGTTCTCTGTGCCACTCCTGGCTGTTGGCTTTCTGGAACAAAAAACAAAGCCAAGAACTGGGCATGTCCCCAGCACTGCGGGCAACTATGGTGGGAATGCCTTTACCCTGATCTTCCGACTGCTTGTCACAGGTTTCTACTTTCAAACTCACCTCCTTTTTGGTGAGGGAGAAAAGGTTATAGCGAAAAGCGAATTTGAATTAAGAAATCTTTGCTTCCATTGTCCAATTGCACCCTCAGAATGCCGGCCAATCAGTGAGCTGCTCCGAGCCCATTGCACATCTCGCTTTCTCTCTCCCTTGCTTTCATGGGTTGTTTGTTTGCGTTGGTTAGAGAGGAAAAAAATGATATAGATGAAGCACTTACTACAGAAGGTATGCTAATCACCTGGGGGCAGGAACAACCGCTCAACTCATGGATTCTGTTTATCTCATGAGTCATTGAGACCCTTGTCTTTGACCAGTTTTCAGGTGAAATGAGACAATGGGTGGCTTTGTTTTGTCTCCAGTGCCGGATCTAAGTGATCTGCAGTGTGTCTTGTGAGTGGCAGTGAGAGATGATTCTGAAAACACAGAGGTCTGGGTAATAGAGAGAGAGCGGGACCCCCAGCAAGATGGTCGCTGCGGCCGTGACATCGGCGTTGCGTACAGGAGTTCCCTGGTAGCAGCAGGAATGACAGTCAGGGGACGCAGTGAGCTCTTGTCCATCAACTACTTACCAGCAAAACTATAGCTCCAAATGATACTCTAGACCGTAGAGTGTTATTTTTAAAGTGCAGGACAGTATGGTGATATCTTTTAAAATGATTTAATAGGTGAGACTGGGGTTGGAGACATACAGAAAAAACATAGGTAGAAGATAAACCTAACAATATATAGAGAGAAGCAAACCCAGAAATGCTTGTTCTGGGGTTTCTGATAAAAGGGACACGTGGTGCTTTCCCTCCTGAAGCTGCGGCCAGGCAGCCCGGAAGCAGATATTGATGGTGTTATAACAATGAGGACCAACATCAGCGCCAGGGTGTCTCCCCGTTTGTGCCCTCCCCAGGTATGCGACATAAGGGAGGAGAAGGACTCACAAGTTTCCTTTAAGGGGATGGATGGAGTGCAAAACCCGGTTGACGTGGCGCCCCAGGGCGCAGGACGGTACCAGTTCATGGGGCACACACGTCTGAGACAGGACGCAAAAGTCTTGAGCGGGTTTAAGCTCAGGTGAAGCTAATGGCAAATGCTCCAGAACTCAAAGAGTGTGGACACCGTCTCCCGCACGGTCAAGGTTAACACCCGTGTACGTAAGTGAACTCAAGGGCTCACACGGGGCATGGACAGCCCGGTCGCGTGGTTGACCTGTGTGTGCTGCTGCTCTGACTTTTTAAAACCTGGTGTCGAGTGGCCAGGGCAAGCTCTTCCTGGTCCCAACCACCTCTCGCTGTTACCCTCACTTGATGCGTCGACCTCCAGGTGGCGCACTGAAAAACCATTCCAACCCCAGAAGTGCAGACAGAATTAAAAAACATCGCGTACACACACGCACACCGAACAGCCATTTAAAACGCAATGGGAGGGAACTTCTTAGCCATCCTCGGCCAACTCCCTTTTCTCAAATCCACACACTGACCCTAACGGGCAGTCTCCCGTACTCCTGAGAGGGAACTTGAAATGCCAAGTCTGGAATGAAACACTTCTCGGTGGCTGAGGAGTCATCTTGCTGAATAGGAGACAGGACTCTTGTACACGGCACAAGAGTGACAGAGGTGTGGGTCTGTTCTAAGTGCGCCCTAAACAGGGGGCGCTTTTGACCGGGGCGTCGGGGCCCAGGGGCCTGTCTCCACGAAGCGATGCCTGAGGGAAGAAGGTGCACACTCCACAGAGCGCCGTCCACGGCTCCCACTCAGGTTTCCGCCAGCGGGTCAAACACCTCTAGCACTGTCCTCTTGTCCTTGTCACCAACGGCCGCCCAGTGACTGAAGTCTTTTCGCGTGTGCTCTGGTGGAGGCTCCTCGGCAGCCGAGCCGCCGGGTTGCGGGGGTGCTGTGTGCACCCTTCCGAGGTTCCCGCTCCTCGGGTCCAGGGGCTCACGGCTCTTGGAGAGCCAGGTGTTATTCAACAGGTTCGGGTGGTGGAGAAGGCTCCAGAAGGGGTCCTGGCAATCACCCGGAAGGGAGGCTGCCTCTGGCTTTGGCTCCTTGGGGCCACTGGCCTCGGGGCTTGCAGCTGATGAAGGGCCTGGGAAAGCTGGCTGTGGAAGGAGTGCGCCACGGTCAGGCTGGGGTGTGGGGGGGCCCTCGCTGCTGAGCCCCTGGAGGAGCTGGCTGTGCGTCTGCAGAACCTGCAGGTGGAAGGCCGCGGGGGCAGACTTCTTCCTCCTCGGGGGCACCGGGGGCACAAGGGGTGGGACTTCCAGAAGGGAAGCCACGCCAGGGGCCTCATCCTCTGCTGGCTTTTCAACGTTGGGCCCCCTCTCAGCACCTTTCCCAGGATGCAGTGTTCTTGGTTTGGGAACAGGAGGGACTGCCACGAGAGGAGGGGCTTCAGGGCTTGTCTCAGGGGGCCCGATTGTGAAATGAACAGTCTGCTGCCCCGGTGGTTCTTCTGGCGATGTGGGCTGAGAAAAGGCACAACAAATAAGTAAGTAGCCGACGGGGGGTGGGGAGGGAGGTGAGAACTCAGCACTCGGAGGGTGTCAGCCAGGAGCAAGGAGGGGCGAAGCGGAACATTCTAGCAAATTTGAGATTTGAGAATGTCGGGGATGCAGAAGTGCGGCCAGGTATGAAAGAGCACGGCAGAAGCACACACACACACTGATCAGGGCGAACCAGCAGGTCCAAAGCAATGCGAGAGGGAACTTGAAAACCAGGCCCACAGTGAACGATCTGAGACAGGTTTTCCTTTGTCACCTTAGGCAATGGGGTAATTCGCTCTCCTTATTAAAAGCAGACCACTCCGAATCTCTCCACCTGAGGCCTCAGCTTTCGTAATTCACACAGAAGTCACGTACTGTGTATAATGTGCACTCCTGTTTTTGGCCCAAATTTTCAGAAAGAAAATCTTTCATTTTGATTTTTTAATTCAGTTATTTATTTATATTTAGATACTTGTATTTTGATTATAAAGGAATTTTAGCATTTATTTTGACCATAGGGTATAAGAAATTTTATGTAACAAATAACTACATAACATGAGAACAGATACAAGGTATTTCAAGTACTACCCATGTATAATAAGCATCCTTATTTTTCCCCTCAAAAATCTAGGCAGCCCTGACTCATGTGGCTCAGTGGATTGAGCGCCGGACTGCAAACCCAAGGGTCACTGGTTTGATTCCCAGTCAGGGTACATGCCTGGGTGGTAGGCCAGGTCTCCAGTAGGGGGTGCACAAGAGACCATCACATATTGGTGTTTCTATCCCTCTCTTCCTCCCTACCTTCCCCTCTCTCTAAATTTAAATTTAAAAAAATTTAAAAGACAAAGTGAAATTGTTTTAAAAAATTGGGCAAAAAAGTGTGCACTATACATAGCAAAATATTGTATGTTCCAGTATTAGGCCAATTGAAGGATTAATGGATACCCTTGTTCCTTGAATCTTGATATGTAGATATAGAAGAATGGAAAATTTTGCAGAGACTCTTTACTTCCTTGGTTCTAATTCAAAACCATCCCAAAGACAAAAACGGCACAGTACAGCATAGGAAGCTTTTGTACCAAAAATGGCTACTATGTAACAGCTTCAAGCCTTTCAGTGTTTGTTTGTGTTGGTTCTTTGGGAAACAACAGCACACACAGTCCCTTCTCCAGCAGCCTCTGCTTGCTGCTCTGGTGCAGCCAGCTGGGAAAAGGAATTGGTTTCTGCACCTGGCTTTTAAGAGAGAAGATGAAACGAGTACATAGGAAAAGGAGGAAGACGACAGATGCAAGGAGCCAAGGCGGATGGAGGAGACAGCGAGGTAAGAACGCGGTGCCCAGGACGCGGCTCACTCGCCCGCCGGCGGAAAAGCAGCACTCATCTGTCGTGACCAGCCAGGGTTACCGAGTGTCCGGCACCAGAACACTGAGGTCAAACGGAAGATCCAGATGCCTCTAGAGGTGCCAGTCTCTGGGCCGCTACTGTCCTGACAAACTCATGTCTCTGAAGCAGCAAGCAAGGCTGAGAAGCTTGAGAGCGAGAGCAGAACACAATCTGCAAGAAAAGTCGTGGCGAGAAGAGCTGTGGCCCCCAGCATCCGAGGCCAGCACTGCTCACCTAGGAGACGGTTAGTGTTCTTCTAAAGCAAACAATGCCTGTCCACGTGAAACTGTGTGCACACGACAGACCACACACACACACGGGAGGGACTGGAGCGCCTGGACTCAGGCAGTTAGTTCTCATGGGGCTCAACCAGGATGCACAGAAAGTGTGACACCTCCAAGCTGCTCCTGCTGTGGTGAAACCTTCCTTGTTTTTCCACTCAGTGGGAGCCAGGCACTCGGAGGAGAAGCAAGTGCCAAGCGTCCCTCAAGGAGGGGCCATAGCAGGGGCCCGTGACTGTTTATGGAGAGACAGACTCAGCAGAGACGTGACTCTCATCTAACACAGCTCGGGAGTGAGAGGTTGATGAGACCATTTCTTACCTTCCCGGTCCTCCTCAAGGTTGGCTTCTTGATGGCGGGGACTCTGGGTGCTGGCCGACGGGGCAGGGGCGCAGCCACCCCTGCTGTGGGCTCTGGTTTGGAAGACCCCTGGTCCCTCAGGGTTGTGGCATCTGGGGCTTCTCCTGGGGCGCCTGAAACATGCAAGTACGTGTCAGAAGTGTGCAGTTTGCTGTGTGATGTGATCTTTACGCAGGCGACAGCCTGAGGATACTTTACTAAAGCCGTGTTTTCTTATTTCTTAAAATGTTTGAGGGTTGTCAGGACAACCAGCTAGGTTTCGCCCCCAGCTTCTCATGCCCCACTTCCCAACAGGGATGGTGAACCGAGTCCATGGGTGGTTTGGGTGGGGGTCAGTGACGCTCTGGCATCACACACAAAAGCTTGTGGGTATGTGCGTTTCTCACGGGAGATGATCTGAAACTCTTCAAAATCTCAGGGCCCATGACCAAGGGAAGGTTAAGTTCAGACTCCAGGCTGATTTCAAACCTCAACCCTCTTCTAACCTCTACATCCACAGAGTTTTCTTTAAAAAAACAGCATTACGATTCACATACCATAAAATATACCCTTTGAAAGATTACAATTAGTGGTTTTTAGTGGATTCACAAAGGTCTGCAGCCCTCACCATGTCTGATTCCAGACTGTCTGCAGCACAAAGGAGCTCCATAGGTGCCCAGAGCCCTGGCTCCCCATCCCCTCCTCTGTCCAGTCCTGCAAACACCGTAACTTTCTGTCTCTGAAGATCTGCCTATTCTGTGTACTTCATATCAATAGAATGTGAGCATATGTGTGTACACACAACACACTATTTTCACGGTTCACCCACAGTATAGCATGTATTAGTATTCTATTCTTTTATACTGCTGAATAATATCCTGCTGTATGGACATTTGAGTGGTCATATACAAACTGTAGTTATAGTTTAAAATAAAAAATAAGTATTTATTTTAAAATAAATTTAAATAGGCCCTGGTTGGTGTGGCTCAGTAGATTAAGTGCTGGACTGTGAACCAAAGGGTCACTGGTTCGATTCCCAGTCAGGGCGCATGCCTGGGTTGCAGGCCGGTTCCCCAGTAGGGGGCATGAGAGAGACAACCACACATCGATGTTTCTCTCCCTGTCTCCCTCCCTTACCCTCTTTCTAAAAACAAATAAATACAATCTTTAACAAAATAAACTAAAATAAATTTAAGGAAGAAACCACTTGTGATGATGTCGTCCTGCAAGTGTTTTGCTCCCTCACCACTGACGCCCTCCTTCGATGCTACGTGGAAACTCCAAATCGGTGAGACATCCCGACTAAACCCAGACCAGGTGACGGGGTTGCAGGCGGCTTTTCGGAGGCGTGAGCTCTCCTTTCCAAAATCACAAGTTAGTTACAGTGACTCTGAATGCACGAAGGAGATTCAGGGTAAAACGTGGTTAATGTGGTTTAAGTGAAGTAACAGCAGTGGAACTGACAGGCCGTGTGCCTGCCAGCAAAGCACCCACAACTGCCGGCGGCTCCGAAGTGGATTTTATGTCTCGAACATGGATGTGTTTGTTCCCAGCGACCTCTTCTAACTGCAGAATGAGTTAGTGCCCGGGGCATTCACCTTTTCTAAAATCCACTTTTGCTTATTTCAATCTCTGTCTTAAGTGCTGCCTAATAATCCCAGGATTCCTTTTATATACATACTGAATCTGACACACCTAACTTTACGTGGACAATAAATCTTACTAGTGGACTTTTACGAAATGTCGCTAATGGGTGCTTTCATTGAATACTGCCTTAGGGAAAAAAAAGTTACTTTCTCTTCCCAGCACTTTTAGGAGGAAGATGAAAAGGAAAGGGGAGCAGGTTTTTCTCCCCGGGATCACAGCCCAGGACACCTACCTCCTCTAGCTTCCAGGAGGCAGCGGATGGCTGCTTCCGCCTCCTGAGCGTTGGTGGTCTTGATCTGCTTGACGTTGTAGGGTTTACTTATGCCAGTCCTAGCCTTGGGCTTGAGGACAGAACGAGGAAGAAAAGCGTGTTAATGCCGGTGGGAAAATAGCCGCGCCCGGCCAGTTCACCGACCCTTGATGTGTGCCCAGGAAGGATTTCCATCAGACAGTGATTAAAACCCAGTCCCGTCTGAGCCTGTTTTCCCCGAGGCACGGACACTCCAAGAAGAGGTGACAGTGTTTAGGGCAGGGGCCCTTGTTGCCCTAGGTGGGCGTTCTCAGGCTTTTGCAATGTGGACAAGCCATCCATCCACTTTATTTCAAGAACCAGGAAAGAGCCACAAAGCACATCAAACTCGGCCCAGCTGAGTCATGAAAACACCTTCCAGGTATGTTTACTTGAAAGTGCCTTTTCCACCTCTTCACCCAAAGCTCTGGGTCCCCTTTGATGACCTGCCTTCTTCCCTGTAAACCACAGAGGAGTCATCAGCCCCCTGCTCCTGCTGCAGCTAAGTGAGCACCAGACTCAAGCTCTCTGCACCCTCCTGGGCTACGCCAGCTTCTGCCCAGCACCTGGCTTCTCCGCCCTCACCTCGGTCCCTTTGACCTTCATTACAGCCTTGCAGCTCAGTGCCATTCTCCGGGAACTCTCCACTGCCCAAACCACACCAATCTAATTATTACTACTGCCTACGGCGTTATTCGGGCCCATTGGAGCTTTTTTAAAGCCTTTTCTCTCAGCTAACTTGAGTGCAGGATGCTCATAATTTTATCCAGACAATGGATCTAAATTTTTCCTGTTTCCCCTTCTACCAAGCACTGCTCTACACACCAAGGTCAAAGTCGGGCATCGGAAGAGAGAGAAGCAGGTGAGCCTAGAAACCAACAATCCTGCCTTGCAGGGAGGGACACTTGGATTTTTTCACCAACATGATTCCTCTCCAGTGCCCTGCACAGCCATGTCAAAGCTCATAAAAGACCTGCTCCTAAGGTAAGGGGTTCAGGGATGCATTGGTGGGCAGGGGGAGGGTTAAAGAGATGGCCACCGATACATTCGAGGGAAAGGGTCGATCCCGGGTGATTGTAGGGGCTGGGGGGGATCACGGGGCCAACCCTGTGGGGCGGAGACGTCTGGGCTTTGCTTTGAGTGGAGCACAGAACTCACTGCTTGCTGAGGCGCTCCTGGAAGAAGCTTTGCTGTCTGCAAAATCGAGTACTGCCCGTGGGTGCCGGAGGAGATGGACAAGTCCGAGGCCGACTTTTTCACCATGAAGCCCGCTGTGAAACACAAGGACAGGCTTCTCTCAGTGATGTCGCTGACTGCTTCCAGGCAGGTTCCCAGCCAGCCGACAGCAAGGGGCCCAGGAGGCCAGAGAGGCCGGCCGGGTCTGAGCGTGCACGGGCCTGGGGCCTCCACAGGGGCCCCCGAGTGTTTGTGGTTCTCTCACAGCTTCTTCCTGTCAATGGAGATTCTCCGGAAAAGGATTTTCTTTCTTTTTTTGAAAAATTTAATCTTCATTGTATTTCTTTTTCCCATGGCCATTTAGTTCCCTTGGAAAGGCATTATTTCCATGTAAATGTTAACCTGCTGTCCTGGGGGTTCAAACTGGATACAAAGGTCAGTTCATTTTAAGTGGTTTAAAATACACTACTGTTCCTAAGACCAAATTTTTCAGCTGTTGTGAGGACAAGATCTAAAAAACCCTGAAGCAGGGGAATAACCTGATCAATTGTACCTGCAGCTGTTATGAACCAATCCGGGTCTAGAACATTCAATAACAAAGACACTGGACGAAAACACATGACCAAAGAAAAAGGACACCAATTTTGTAAAAAACACAACAATTAAAAATTGCCTAGAAGTGTACATCTACATCATTGTCGGAAGGCTGGGAATCGTTTTCAATAGCTGTTATTTCTAGGTAGTCGGGTGAAATAAAAAACTTAATTATTCATATATATATATTTTTAATTCCCACAAAAATGCATAACATTTAAATTTTTTTACTTGTATTTCATTTTCTGAGTATCAACTCAGGAAAGTGAAAAGCACATGTAAAAACACCATGTGTGTCTGGCCTGCCACTGATCGCTACTGTGACACAGACAGAGCCAAGCCCAATGTGGAAAGGAAGACCTTAGCAAAACCCGTGTCTAATCGTCCCATTTTGGGGGGTGAGAGTGGAGAAGTAAACGGCAGAGGTAACTAGAGCCTGATCGGAAGCACGTCACAACTTTACTTTCCAGTTACTAATGGAAGTTCAATGGGCTAACCATCGTTTTGAGGGGAGCCGGGAGGAGAGGCAGTCTGCGAGGAGACCCGGGCTGGGACGAGCTGGTTGGCAGGTCCCAACGCCAGCAGAGGTCAGGCCTGGACGCAGGAGCAGGAAGACACCCGGTGAGAAGGGGGCATGCGCTCACCCTGCGCTTTGGGGCACCTGGGTTTGCTCAGTGGAGCGAGTTGAGGGGAGAAGATGCTGAAAGCCACTGTGGGGTGGGAGTGGGGAAGACACTAAAAACTGCCCCCGCTTGGCTTGGCTGGGACCCCAGTTTTCTGTTCTCTGGGGTGTGGAGCAGAAAGCAGGCTGAAGAAAGCACAGTGACAGGGGGACCAAGAGCAGCTTCACAAAGGGACCGTTTAACGGGCCGCGAGACACGCAGCTGCATCTCTGATATCGAACGTGTCGTGGGTTTAACCCGAAAGGAGCCCGAGGGGGGCGCAGCGCACTGTGAGCAGCGAAGGTGGGAGGTGATTCGCAGCTGTTTGTTCAGTAGCAGAAAACAGGCGGTTATTAAGCCCAGCCGGCATGTAAGCCCCAAGCAGCGAAATCTTACTTGGAGGGGGGGGTCTCTGCGGTGGGCGAGGCGGCCGAGGCCTATTGGGAACCGACAGAGACCTACTTGGAGAACGGTGGCGGTCCCCAACAGCTTCCAGCTCCTGCTTTAACTCCGCCAGGTCGGCGTCACCTGAGGACATGGCGGAAGGCGGGAGAGGTGAGCGGGGGTCAGGCTCAGGTGTGCACAGAGCCACCTGTAGCAGGAGGAGCCCCTGCAGGACAGCTGGAGTGTCCCCCTGACAGCTGGCGTGGGCGGGGAAGGACACCCAGGGCCTGCTGGGAACATTCCAGGGACCCTCGGCACTGTCTGGTGTCCAGATGCGAGAGACAGAGAAAACTCACAGGGGTGTCCAGCCTCTGGGCATCTCTGGGCCGCACTGGAAGAAGAAGAGTTGTACTTGGGCCACAAATACACTGTGACGTATAATCACACTAAAAATCTCATCATGTTTTGAGTAAATTTATGATTTTGTGTTGGGTCGCATGCGGCCCGTGGGCCTCAGGTGGGACTCCCCTGCTGAAGTGCAGAGAGGCGTGTTTCCTTCTGAAATAATCGACAGGACGTCCACCCCGAGGGGAGGAGACGGCTGAAAACCACAGCCCCCCACTGGGCGGCCCTCACTCTAAAAACGGGGCGACGGCCCGGGAAGCTGAGGATAATGCTACTCCTCTGCCTTGAAGGGCCTGCTGTCCAGTGACGAGCCCCTGGTACGGAGTGTCCCCAAGCACTCAGTGAGTCCCCAACACAGTGGCCCAGGGCCTGCCACTTCACAGGAGTTCACTGTCCTGACCTGTCCTGCCCAAACTGGCTGAAGCTGAGAGCAGCCCGAGGAAGCGGCTGCTGTGTTTTACTGCATGTGCATTCGTCACATCGAAGTTCAGAACAAAGATGTGTGACATTTAAATATTTTGTTTATATACTCAGGAAAATGGAAAATATGCTTAAAAAAACTCTGGCATGCCATGGATCACTATGATGCTGTAAGCCAAGATGCTCTTGGAGATTCTCTCTCACGCATGACGTGGCCCGGCTCATTTCATTTTTGTTCTGACACGCCATCCCTCCAATCCACAGCTGCGCCCCATGCGATCAAAGGCTGAGCTGGGAGAAGTTGGCACTCTTCTCCCAGGGGGTATGTCTGAGCACCCAGAGGGTAAAGACCCCTCGCGCCCACCCAGTGGCTGGGCGGCCCACACAACCAGCTGCTCTCACATCTGCCTCCCCTTGAGCAGTGGCTGGGGTGCTGACCACCTCTGAGGGGCACATCCCTTCAGCCACTCCCAGGGCAGGGCAGGAACCCTCTGGATGAGTAATGACAGAGAGACCAGATGCACGGACAAGGGCTGCTGGTCCTCAACACACCTGGCTGTGCATCCCCATCACCTGGGATTCCCAGCACCCCCACAACCCACACCTCCAGGATGGGGCTTAAAAACCTGTAAGTTCTGGCGGGGCAAGCAGCCGGGCTTCAGACCGGCTTTGGAGCCACTATCTAGCCAGAGGGACTTGGGGGTCTTTGCACCTCTCCCCAGAGCGCACCTTCCCCAGGAAGCACCTTAACTCACTTTCAGCCCTGTTCTCCGTGTTTGCCCCAGTGCAAAGGGTCCTGACACCCGGCTGAGCCTCTGCACCTGCTGGGTACAGTGCACCTCTGACGGGGGACACAAGCTGGCAGCTGCAAGGCACTCGTGGCTGCGGGTGGGCCTGGTGCTGAAACTGTGACCCCTCCCCAGCCCAGGAATGCGTGCAGGTTTGAAACTATTAAAAAAAGTCGCTACACCATATAATGTGGGGCCACGCAGTTCAATCCATATGATCTTCAGTCCCTCTTCAGTCCTCAGTGATATAATGATGCTAATGTGCAGCAGTATCATTAATTACGTATATAAAGTTCCATAATGCACAAAATTACTACTGTGTAACATAATGTCGTAGTAGGTAACAACAGACCCGTGACTCAGGATGCAGACATCGAATGCCTCTTATGGGAGGCAGGATGCTTCTTATCTGAATCAGAAAAGTTTTGGAGAGAAAAAAAAAACCCCAAATGTAAAACCAGTTCAGCACTGTGGCTGTTTGAATACACAGGAGAAGCAGGAATTATGAATCTGGGATATTATAGGGGCACCACGAATCGTAAAAATAACACCAATCACTAGAGAAAATCGGCATGCTGGTAGCTGCCACCTTCCCAGAGCTCAGTGCCTACCACTGGCCGTGACTGCGTCCTGTGCCCTCTCAGGGGGCAAGCGCACTTCACCGTGGCCTTATGCCAGGTGCTGAGACAGAGAGAGGACTTGGTGCTGAGCAAACAAAGGTCCGAGCTACCTTTGTAGGTTGGGTGCTGCTTCTTTTTGGTTAGTGCAGGGGACTTGCTGGGAGGTGCCGCTGCAGGGGAGCCGGAAGCATCGGAAAGGTCGTCCCCCGCCAGGTCACTGTCTGAGACCACAGTCTGGTTTATTTCATCCAAATAGTCTTCGTCGTCTTCGAGAATATCCCCTTGGGGAGCAAGCGAGTCACAGAAACAGTGAGGGTGGAAGGGCCGGCCCTTCCATGGGGGGCTCTGTCTCAACAGCAAGGCCTGCGGCTCATGCAGGGACACCCCGGCACAGCGGCCAGCGGGCCATGGAGCCCCCATGTGAGCAGGACAGGGCCCTAAATCCACCCGTGCCTGGGACGGGGACCAAACCCCAGGCCCTGACATCTCTGAAGCCACTGTTCTCAAGGTGAGGGTCAGCGCCTCCAGGCCTGTTTACCAGGTCATGCATCGCCCTGCCCATGAGTACCGCCCACCTCGTTGCTCAGGAAGTAAACTCACCATCCATGACCATTCCGAGTCCAGGCCTTGGAAGGGCTCTGGACAGTCTCATGCCAGTTTGGAGGATAAGCCCTGCCCACCCACCCATCTCGCCATCCAGCTGAGAAGGCCTCCTGGGCCTGCTCACCTTCCGACTCATAGTCCAAGCTCGTGAAGTCGAAGTTCTCCTCCAGCAGGCAGGAGTTGGCCGTGGGCGACACGGAGGCCACGCTGTCCCGCTTCCGGGCCAGCTCCTCCTGCAGACCTTTGAGCCAGTCCTTGGTCTTCGGCCGGATCTTCACTGCCCTGCCTCTCACCTGCGAGGGACAGTGTGGGCCAAGTGAGCGCGGGGCCAGGCAACCCCCAGGTGCCCAGGGCTGCAGCTCGCTCAGACTCAGGCGTCTGGAGAAGAGCCGAGCGTCCGGACCTCCGGCTGGCATTCGGTCTCGATGAAAGTCGAACTACCACCTTTGCTCTCCGTCCTGTGTGAATGTAAACTCAGGATATGATCAGAGTGGAAGCTAGCTGAGCTGCTGATTCAAAAACACACACTCTAGAGAGAAAGACGGAGGTATGGGTGAAGACGGACCCAGGAACCGGGCAGGAACTGGACTCTAAAACTCGCTCTTTCTCCCAAATTCTACAAGCAACCAGAGCTGGACATAAGACACCTCAACGAAGGTACCAGAGTTAGCCACCAGAGGAAGTGTCCCAGCTCTGCCCTCCGGTGGTGCCCACGTGACCCTGTGAAGACCGTGAAGAAGACCCCACTCCACGGGGGACCAGCGTGACTCACCTTCATCCCGTCCACATCGAGGACGCTGAGAGCCGAGTGACTGTCTGCAAAAGTCACCAGCATCTGCCCTTGGTTGATCCTGGAACAAAGGAAATGGGTCCAGTCAACCCCGAGAGGGACTAGACGGCTCTCCCGGGTCCTCCAGGTCGCCGGCCCCGGAGCCCACGCCCGCCGGGGCAGCAGTCACCTGACAAGAACGATCGTCCCGTAGTTCTCCAAGGTCTGCATGAGTTCTGTGCGCACGTCCTCCGGAAACTCGTTTTGCTCCTCTAAGGTCGGTGACTGAAGGTTGACGACGACGGTGGCGTCCAGGGGGCCCTGGAAAGAGGACACTTCCTCGAACACCCGATCCCGAGCACCTGTGTCCACTTCTTGAACTTCCACCTCCACAATGGCCAGCACAGGTCTGCGTTAGACATGGAGGGAGGACGGGCAACCGTTAACCTGGGACGAGACCGCAGCGCGGCCCCCACCGCGGCCCCACCCCTCCGCTGTGAACAGGGACCGCCTGTGGCTCCCTGCTGTGACCCCCAGAGACACTGCTGCACCCCCAGCCCCAGTCCTGTCCTGGGGCTCCAGCCTTCGTCCTCCCCAACCTCGGTGTTACCCTGACATTTTAAGCGAAGGATGAGGGGAGAGAAAACACAACCAGCCACCAGCGAGGATTTTGCACACACTAATCGCCGGCACTGCTGCGGAGGCAAATAGGTGGGCGTCCATCCTCCCTCTGCTGGCAGGGGGAGGGGGCTATTTGGCAATTTGCATTCAAAATCTCAGAAATGCGTGTCTCTTTTAATCTGAGCTCTAGGACTCTGTTCTAAGGAATGACCAGGGATTCAGACCAAGATTTGTGCACAAGGCTGATCATTACAATGCTGTGGGGAACCATCTAACTTTTCCATAACAGGAACAGTAAGTTATGGCGCAGACGCAGAGGGCTTGCTGAGCGCTCACTAAGCATGGCTCCCACTGTCTGTCCTTCAGGGCCCAGGGCCAAGGTCAGCATGTCCGAGCGGCAGTCCCTGACCACCGGGTGTAGAACAGCACAACCCCTGGTCTGACCCGCCCCCACTGTCTTCTCTTCACAGCACTTATGTCTGTTTACTGTCTGTCTGTCCTCACTAGAAAGTTCCACGAGAGCACGGTTGCCTCTGTTCTCCACTTCCCCTCAGTGCCAGAAAAGGCCCCTCGACAAACAGCCTTCATATGAGTGCTTCTAAGTACACGCACTGAGCCAGCAAACCACAAAGTCCTGTGTCTGAAGATTTCCCAAGGTGCATGTCTAGGTGTGTGTTTTCCACAACAGGTTTCTGAAGAATTACAAGTATCTCAAGATCAAGACCTATGGGCTGACCACCAGCTCTTTTCCTTAATCCATTCCTTGTGAAAGTTGAAATGAATGTGCTCTTTCAGTAGCAATCCCGGGGAGATCAAACCTGCCAACACCCTGAACTGCCATCCCCTGGGTCTTTAAGGGTGGTCTACGAGACGCATGTCCCTCTGTGGCCGGTCCCAGTGCCCAGAGAGCTGACAGAGCTCTGCTGTTGAGGCCCATCCTTAATTAACGCAGGACGCATGAGCCAACCCCACGGCCCAGAGCACTGAAATCCCCGAACCCCTGTGGCATCTGTGAGATGCGAGGAAAAACACTGGTCATCGAGGACTGGGTTGGTTCCAGGGGTGCGTCCACCGTGGGGCCAAACTGTGGCCACAAACGAATGAGCCGGATGTGTAGTATCCATGTAACTGTATCTCAAACATGTCACACAGCAAAAAAGTGAGGTACACAGTGGCATCACCTGTGAGGCTTTAAATGACAAAACACTGTAGGTTGTGTCTCGGGCATTTTCATAAATAGGGTCATTTGTGAGATGGAGCGATGACAGAACACTAACCTGTCAGTTCCTGGTGATGGGTGCGCGGCTATTTGTCCTTCCCTGTGTTTCTCTCTCTCTCTCTCTCTCTCTCTCTCACACACACACACACACACACACACACTCTCTCTCTCTCTCTCTCTCTCTCTCTCCGACGGTGACAGCACCTCGCTCCCCATGGGGACCAGCAGAGGACCGCGTGCCGTGGCGGCGAGGACCGTACCTGTGGTCGGATGCCTGCAGCTCCGCTCGGCCGTAATACCTGAGGGTGCCGGGGGACCAGGTGTGCCTGACCTTGGAGTCAGCATCCAGGTCGTTGTCTAGGAGGTTGACTTCTTCAGCTACTCACAGGATGCCAATCGAGAGACCCACAGACAAGACAGCATTGTATCAACACACGGACACCTACCACGGAGCTCGCACAGCAGGGACCGACCCCACGTGTGTCCGACTTGTTCGCTCTCACCCCTGGGGCTTGAAACCATGCCAAGGTGGCCTTGGACCTGGGGCGCAAACCTCCTCCCACGGGGCTGTCCAAGGCAGTGGACCAGCCCAGCCTGCCTCTCCCCTAGGGGCACAGATGTCACGCTGTGGGGTTTCCATCCCAGGACTCGGGGACACAGCAGGTCTGCAGCCCCCTGTACAGTGGGGGAGGCCGGGGCCAGGAATACAAAGCCTCTCAGTGCCCTGGGGCGACACACATGTGCACGCAGAACAGAGTGGGTCTTTTCCATCTGCAGATGCGTGTTCCTGGCCTTGAAACCTTGGCCCATACCTCACCAGAGAAGTTCAGTTGTCTATGCATCGGTTTATAGGTGGTTTGATTTTACATCAGCCCCACATCCTACCTGGGCATCGCTCAGTGTTCAAGACACACCGAAGCTGATTGATAACAAGCTCTTATCCTTCCCGTGTTCGATTGAAACGGGGGCTTCGGCAGTGAGAGGGTGGTCGCATAGAACGGCCTGGATGACATGCATGTGGGGGTGAGGAGGGCGGGGGCAGGGAAGGGGGACAGCGTGGCTTCTCTCCTGCTCCCTGTCCAGAACCGAAGGCAGACAGGGTGGCAGGGGCACAGCTGTGGTGCAGGGGTGGGGACAGTCAGGCCCAGGTCCAGCTGTAGACCAGTCTCTGGAAAAAGGGCAGAGAGGAGCTCCCCCAAAGCACAACTTCCGAAGCTCAGGGATGACTCAGTGTTGTTTGTGCAACAAAGGGCACTGGGCCGAATCAGCAGGATGTTCTCTCCCCGGGACTGAGCACCTTGCCCCCCTCCAGATCCGGAATCACACATGTCACACAAACCTGTCCTGTCAAAGGGGTGCCTCTTCCTCCACCACAGGACCCGGTCTGTCCAGGCTGGGGTGCGACATTTGTCGCTAGTATCATAGGCAGCGGAGCCGACGTCATACTTGTAGGTGGGTCCAAAATTAATGGTGCCTTCGTGAAAATCCTTGAAGATCTGGCGGGAGAGAAAGAAGTCCTGGGACCACTGCAGCTCCCTGGGTGCCGCACATTACGTACAGAAATGAAAAGGGCCGCTGCTGGGCACTGCACTCCTAACAGTCGCTGACCCTGCGTGGTATTTACGAACATGTGTAAACCTGGACATGCATGTGCCTTTTCACCAGCAACATAGGCCTGTTAGTTCTGCTGCCTGACTCGCACCCCTGAGTCTCCCCCCACCCCCACCCCACCTAGCACAGCGTCTGCTTGTCGGCCCCCCAGGGAGGGCAGGCACAAGGCAAGGGCGCACATTCCGGGCCTGGCCAAGCCCATGCACACCCAGCAAGGCCTTAACTAAACGCACGGAGTAAACAGAAGCCCAGAGCTGCAGGCGCACTCTCCTCTGTCTCCGGGCCTGGTACGTCCCCCCACCTGGCCCCGCTCAGCATCCACGTCGCAGACAGGGTCGAGGGGGGCAGGTGCAGAACACCCAGAGGAACACCTGCACCCGGCTTCCCTACGCTCGTGGGTGACCAGCAGCATTCCCCAAAGGCACTGGCAGTCACCACGCCTCAGCCCAGTCTGTGCGGGTGCTGACAGGCACGACAGACGCCAGTAGCATGAGCTGGAGGCTGGCCGGTGTGACCTTGCAGAAGTGACCACAGGCCCTACAGTTCATTCCTTCCAATTATGTCTCAGCCTTAGGAGGCACTAAAAATTGCACATGGGTCCCGGAGGGGTGGGGAGTGTGCCCTGTTTGAGTCTGGGATGGCATCGTGGCTCTATTACTGACCCAAGTAACTTTGGATGAGTTATGTGACCTTCGCCTCAGTTTTCTTGTCTATAACATGGGTATATCAGCCCCAGCTGGTGTGGCTCAGTGGACTGAGGGCCAGCCTGCGAACCGAAGGGTCGCCTCTTTGATTCCTGGTCAGAGCACATGCCTGGGTTGCACCCCATCAGGTCCCCAGTAGGGGCGTGTGAGAGGCAACAACACATTGCTGTTTTCCTCTCCCTCCCTTCCCATCTGTCTAAAATAAATAAATAAAATGTTTAAAAAGATAAAGTGAAATGGGCATATTAATAATAACCAATTTATAGGAGAGTTTTAAGAGTTAATGATACGAATTGGTGTGTGAACTACATTTTATTAGACATTGGTCTACTGGTTCATGTGCTTACCCACGAGAAACAGAGATACCCAAGGACTGTGAGCAGGGCCTGAAGTGTCCCTCGGTGGCTCAGTGCGTCTGAAGTACAGCAATGCCTACGAGGCTTGCACGTGAGTGTGAGCGGGTGGACTTTTGGACACAAGCCTCTCCATCCTCACACAGCGGGGCGCTCAGAGGCGGGGCCATTCCAAGCCCTGGTGACTCAACTGAGCGCAGCCACTTTCTGGTTTGACAGAGGAAGGGACACCCCCGCCCACCGGGCACAGGCTCTGGTGGTGGCCCCTGCAGCTGGCTGAGGTGCCTGCAGTGTGCTTGCGTAGAGCAATGGCACCCTCTCCCCCCACCACGAGAGGACCCCCAGGCCCAAACATAGCCTGCTTGGAGAGGGGAAGGAAGTGTGTGTCAAGAGACCCTCACATTTCTCCAACGTCGGAGGCCACACACACTTCCTGCAACATCACAACCCTTGTCCAGTCCACTCCTGGAACCTGGTTTGCCGGACAGGAGCACATATGGCAAGGAGACCCTTCCCCACTGGAGTAGCTGCCAAAGTTGCTTCAGAAGCACAACTTACTTTTCCACTGGACTTCTGCAGCTGCAGCTGATCAAATTCCAGAAGTTTCTTCCAGTCTTGGCGTTTCACAAAATAGAAGACTTCTTCGTAAGTGAGATCGATGCGGTAGTTGAAGTCGCCACACCAGAACACGTAGTCGTGAGAAAAGACACTTCTTCCCTGCGTGGTAAAGGAGATCACAGTCACCCCAGCTCGTCTGGTAAGGGGTGGGAGGTGGGGTGGGAGAAAACCACCCCACACAGGGGATAAAAAGATGCATTTCCTTAAAACATTCCTTAGAAGGAGTCTCCTGCTGGAACATCTTACAGTTCACTTAACCCACAAGCTTATTGAGGAACTTTTACACGGCTAACTTTGTAATTTTACGCAGTAGCGTTTTTTCATGGTTTGGAGGCAGCTCCAGCTCTGACCTGGGCACCATGACCACGCTTGGTAATCAGGCCGTTCTCTGCTTTTATGTCTATATCCCAAGACGGATTGCCCAAACATTTCCTGTTGCGAAGATGAGCTTTCAGGAAATAAGTAAAGTGCAACTTCGTAAAACTTCATGGATTTCATTCCTTTTCATCCAGTGACCCCCCTTCCCTGCCTTGCCCAGCCACTCTAACCTGGAAGCCCAGGTCTTCACCCTGCCCCCCACTGAGAATGCCAGCAACAGCAGCTGCTACCCATCAACCGTCTGCCAGGGCTCGGCTCTGTTCTGGGGGTGCACCTCCTCACAGCAGCCCTGGGCAGCACACGCTACTGGCTTTTTTATATTAAAAAAGAAAAAGTTCAGAAAAGCTTGCTGAAGGCTGTACCAGTAGTAGTATGTGACAAAGACAAAATCTGAACTTGGCTCCAAAAATGCGTCTGTCCTACTATTTGGTGCAGCATTTGCGCCCCCCAGTCCATGACGGTCATTGAGGCAGAGGCTGAAATGATCACAGCCACAGAAGACGGCTGTCAGGGCAATGCTGTCACGTAGAACCTTTTGCAGTGCTGGGGCGCATTCTCCTCTGCACCGCCTGAGACGGGAGCCACCAGCCGCTGCAGCCCCTGAGCCCCCCACATGTGGCCAGGGCAACTGAGGGAGTTTTGCTTTATTTCATTTTAATTGATTCATAGCTAAATAGCTATGTGTGGCCAGTGGCCACTCGACTGGACAGTGCAGGTGTAGAGTGTCACCTTACAGGTATGTCCACTACGTCGGCTGTTGAAGAAGGAGCTATATCATGCCTTTTACTTTGAATGTGCCCTTCGAATAGGACATGATTATTCAGAATGTAGTTCAAAACAGCACTTTCTAGTGAAAAGGCTGGGCTTTTTAAAAATTACATCAGACACACAAAGAAAATATGCATAATGACCTACATAGTCTGGAAAATGACACACTGCCAATTTCCAAACTCTTCTGTGTCTTCTTTTATCCAGGAAATAACAACTGCAACAAGGATGACAGCATTTATTAATGAAAACAAAGGAATTTTGCCTAGAGTGTTCCTGCAGCCTAGGAAATGGGATGTCAGTTTTGGGGGATCTGGCCTCCCGTGGAAGAGCCCCGGGACCTCCTCAGTGCTGGTGCAGACACCTGGAGTGGTGGCGAGAACAGCTGGAGTCCATCCTCACAGCTGGGAAACAGGTGGTTAGCACCAGGCTGGGGGTGTGCGGGCTACAAGCTTTCACAGAACAGAGAATGTTCAACTCTGAACTTGAAAAGGAAAACCTGGTGGCTTCAGAATGAAAACCTCTAAATCACCACCAGAGGGCAGCGCAATGCGTGTTATTGGCAACTGTGTGACCAGATGGGCAATTCAGGGCCCCTGAGTCAAACATCCACTATTTTCTAAAATGGGCCATCTTATCGGAGCCACAGCAGGACATGTGCCAGGACTGTGACTCTCAAGAAAACTGAGTCTTGTGCTGTGAGGGTTCAAACATTCCTCATCAGCCTGGACAAAGCTCGGACACAGATTTCCTTCTCCATTCCACATACTTGAATTAGACAGAAAATCAGAAAATGCACATGGAAAGCTCAGGGTACCCGAGGGCACTGGAGAGATGTATGAAGGTGGGGACCAGGCCTCCAGGCCGAACGCCCTGGGCTTGCCTCTGCCGCACCAGCCCAGGTCGCCTCCCTCCTCCAGCACGCAGTCCCCAAGGGCAGGGGCCCTGCTCTGGTGCGCCCCCTCCTCCCCAAAGCGCCTGCCCAGGTGAGCAGCTGAGAACCCCCTCAGGGGGCTGGATGGACGCAGAGGCCGGTGACACGCCCCCCTCGGCACCACCGTGGGCTGCCCCCCCGCCGCCCGAGCTCACCATGGGGAAACTCAGCTTCTGGGTGATCTCCCTGTAGTCCTCGTTCCTCTCCTTCACCTGGGACTGCCCGGCCGTCAGGTGGCTGCACACGAAGCAGAAGCTGGTGCTGTGGAACTGGAAGCGGATGCCCACGGCACCTTTGTTCCCGGCCTTGCCTCCCATGCCCGTCTTCACCGTGTCAATTGCCACGTCCCTGGAATACACAACGAGCACATGCTTCTTAGTGGCTCCAGGGAAACCCGTCTGCGCGGACGGAGAAGAGCCGGGTTGCGGCTCGGAGCATTCCAAAGCCACCGGCTCAGAGCGGTTTGATCGGGTCCTCCCCGCCAAGCCACACAGCGACCAGCATGACTGTCACCGATGCCGTGGTCTCTCCTGACCTCTTCCATGCACTGTCGGCAGCTGCCTCCGGTTGGCAGCCGTGCCTCTGGAGGGCTCTGCACTCACAAAAGCACCCCACAGAGAGGCCCCGAAGCTGCCACCTCCATCCTTGCTTGCCGTTCTGGGTTCTCACTGCCAGCCGAGACAGCGTGGACCCTACCACCAACCTCTCCCCACCTGGCTTCCCTGCAAAGCCTAGGAGATGCCCTCAGGTCATCGCATGTTCAAGGACAGGAAGCATCCAGTTATTTCTGCTGGGCAGGTAGGTGGTTTCAATGCAGACTCCTGACAGCCTTCAAAGGCCAGCTTGTAATGACTGTGAGTGACATGTGAGTACGCAGGTGACCAGACCACAGACTGAAGCACAGGCTGAGGCCACATCTGCTGTAGAGGCTTTCTGCCCAAATCTTGTTTAGATTTCTTTTTATTTATTTTTTAAAGTATGTTGTCTTTTATTTTTTATTTTAGATGTATTTATCTAAATAAATAGGGAGGGAGAGAGGAGGAGAAACATCAATATGTGGTTGCCTCTTGTGCACCCCCTGCTGGGGACCTGGCCCACAACTCAGGCATGTGCCTTGGCTGGAAATTGAACCAGCAACCCTTTGGTTCTCAAGCCAGCATTCAATCCACTGAGCCACATCAGCCAGGGCTAGATTTCTTTTTAAAAGAGGCAAAAGAACTGGCATTTCCTGATGAATTACTCAGCTCTTGGTCAGAGGTTTCCCGTTTTAAATTTCAACAAGGCCTCCCTTTCCTACTGCAGCGTGGAGCTTAGCCATGATGATAGCCATGTATGATAACACTCCTAAAAGGGTTCAGCTTCTGCCCTGGCTGCTGTGGCTCAGTGGATTGAGAGCCGGCCTGTGAATCCAAAGGTCACTGGTTCGATTCCCAGTTCATTCGATTCCCAGTTCAGGGCACATCCCTGGGTTGTAGGCCAGGTCCCCAGTTAGGGGTGTGTAAGATGCAACTGATACAGCACAATATTTCTCTCCTTTCTCCCTTCCTTCCCCTCTCTCTAAAAATAAATAAATAAAATCTTGAAAAAAAAAGACAAAGAGTTCAGCTTCCTATGCCAGAAGGTCCCCATTGTGGGTCTGCTCATTGCCAGACAATATTCTATTCAGCCCGGTTTTTCCTTGGGGTTTGCCTCCATTTATCTGGAAGAATGAATGGCGGGCCAAGATTCCGGTTGCAGGCAGAGGAGGAAGTCAGAACAAAACCCACCAACAACCCCTGCCCCCCCAGACGCTCGGAGACTCAAGGTTCTCACCTGATGAATGGGACGTGGTAGGGGCGCACAAAGATGTAAAGGCAGACGCCCACCAGCTGTGCCGAGGTCAGGAGAATGTACCTGTGCGAGCGCGAGATGGCTTTCTGCAGCTGCTCGCCCCACATCTTCCGGTTGGTGGTGCTGGGAAAGGAGAGCACAGTGGCACCGGTGACCAACGGAGGCAGCGGGTCTGCCCACCTAAAGGCTCCAGCCCTGAGCTCGTCCAGACCAGGCGTGCGGGCAGGCAGTCTGCCTTGCGGGGCCAGGCCTCCAGCGGGCCCCTCGGCTGGCCTGTACTTCCGGCGGTGCCACACGCATCAGAACACACAGTCCCCAGCCCTGCCGCCTGGGGCCCAGCAGGGGACCCTGGCTCTGGGGAGCTCCACAGAGTCAGGTTTTCTTGTTTGTTCAGGAAGTTCCTGAAATGAAGCCGCAGCAGGTCCGGCAAGAAGAGGCCTGGCTGACCTTGTGCCCAGTGGGAATCCGGCGGTGGAGGGAAGAGAGGGACCTCCTCCTGCCCTCCTGCTTTCTCACCTTTCCCCGGAAAGGGGACTCAGCAGCCACACCCTCCAGGCCACCTGCCAGCTCCCAGCAGGAGGCAGCCTGCACACCTGGCCAGGCAGCACCTGAGAGAAGATGCTCCATAACCCACCCTGCTCCCATTCCCTCCGTTAGCAGAGACAGAAGACAGAGGTGAGGGGGGAGGGCAGTCGGCGGTCCCTCCACAGTGAGGGGCACCGGTCGGCAGGTTCGGACACAGGCGGCCGTGGCCCCGCACCTGGCTGGGAAGCTCTGGTTTCAGCGGTTTTCACGTCACTCTTCTGCACCCCTGGCACCTGGCCGCTTACCTGGCATTGACGATATTCCCTGCGCTCAGCTCCACCATCTCTTCGAACCCCACGGCAAAGATGTCGGCTGGGCTGCTATCATCTGGGGACAAGTGGAAGATAAAGGAGTCAGGCCCACCAAAGCTGTGCTGGCTGGGGCTTGGGGCGCCGCGCGGGCCTGTGGGCCCAGGTGTCCCACCGCCCAGGGACCCTCATACAGACCACAGGCCCACCTTCCCTCGGCTCCCACTGTGCACTGGGCCTTTTCCTGTCTACATTCTGGGGCACGTGACTGCACCTCACAGGGGTCACGAAGCACCAACCAGAGGCCACACGTGGAAGTCCCGCTGCTGGGGCATCTCAGCATCCCCCCAGCCAGACCCCAGGTGAGAGGGGAGGGCACTGCCTCATGCTGGTCTGAGCTCTGCCAGTACTTCTCTGGGCTGGGCCCACCTTTCAAGGCTAAGGGCTGACTGGGTGGTCCTGCCCTGGGGGCTCAGAGAAGGGAAAACAAGCCCCACTGTGGGCTGTGAGCTGGAGCTCCGGTGACATCTGCTGAAGATGCTCCTGGCTCACAGGAAACGGAGCAGAGGGTTCCTTCTGTACCCTCCGACAGGGACCCTGCAGCCACTGGCCGCCCACTTCCCGCTGACACTCAGTGGCCGGCCCCGCAGGAGCGTGTAATCCCGCCCCTCCCCCAACTCCCACTCCGCCCCAAACACCAGGTTATCGGCTTGCTCACCTGCTGGCCACGCCGCCCAGCCAGGAACCTCAAGCCTAACTGGCATAGAGTTTCCTTCCTTCCTTTCTTTCTTTTTAAAAGAAAAAACACTGTTCCTCTAATTTGCTGGGCAACTGTCACCACAGCTCCTTCTCGCTCATGAACGTGGCAAGTTTTAGCAGGACCCCTGGTGAGCCCTCTGTCCCGTAAAGCCCCTGCACAGTGAGAGCCAGCTCATGGTCGGCACCCACCCTATTTCTGCAGGCAAGTGAAGACCAGCCATTTTAGTGAAAGTGGGGGGAGTCTCTTGGGCCCAGGGGGTGCTCATGCTCTCGGCATGTACAGGGCCTGCCGGGAGGGGGGCAGTCAGAATGGTCACCGAGTCCCCGTGACCCCACACTGTGGACTCGAGCTACCCTGTCCCCGCTCAAGGCAGTAAGGGGGTGCTAACTGTGTCTGCCACCGTGGGGAAGGGACCTGCGGACACGTGGCTCAGAGAACAGGATCTCCAGCCTGTTGCAGAACCCAAGGAAGCCAGAGGGAGCAAGGCAATGGGGTTAACAGGAGAAAATGGACTTAGTCTTCAACTCCTGAGTTCTGAGGCCCTTCATTGTTACCTAGCAAGACCTGAGACAAAGGGTGGGCTGTCAAATCTGGAATTACTTCCTCCTTAAAAGGAACACAAGTTCACGACAACCTGAAGTGGCCGTCCACAAAGACTCAAAGTCAGTTGGGGCAAGGCCAGAACAGGTGTCCTTGGCCAGTAGGGACGTGACCCCTGGCCTGGCTCTTCCAGAAGGCAGCTCGCCCTCCTCAGACAAAAAATTCTAAAAGTCAAAACCGAGAACCGCAAAACCTGCCTGTGTGAGGAGGGAAGACAGATTGGCTGCTTTGATGACCTTGTCAAAGGTTTGGACAAGAGAACGCCTCAGTTAATTGGCTAGGTGGGTTCTGGAAAGGTAGAGAGCATGGGGCTTTTCATATCCCGAAGGAGGGGGAACGCAACACCGAATTTCACAAGTGGGCCACCGCTGGGAAGGCCAGCCCACGGGCTCCACTGAACTGGCTTTGTTTCTGCAGAGGCCCCCCGCACTCACCCTGGGGCTCGGCGGCGCCGGAAAGCCTGGGCGCATCCAGCAGCCAGTCGGCCAGCTCGGCCGTCCCCAGGAGGTTGCTCCGGAACTGCTTCCCGCCGTTCACGTTCCAGGTCCCCATGGCGATTCGGATCTGCTTGAAGTTCGTGAACTCCGACTGGCGCTCCAGCATGGCTCTCAGGATCCTGGGAGTCACTGTGGGGGCACACAGAGGGGCGTCTGCTTGCGTTCCACCAGCCCCCGGGGCTTCCAGAAACACAGACAGGGTCTCCGTCTGTAGGAGACGGCTGCCTGTGCCGCTAACATGGGCTGTGGTGGGAAGAGGATGCCCCGTTGTGGCACATTGGCCATGGAGTCCTGAAGATGCAGGACTAGGGAGCCCCGGTCTACTCCTGTTCCCCAGCCAGGTCACAGCCTCTCACCCACTCAGTATCCCTTCCACGACCTGGGGGGGGGGGTGAGTGAGGAGGCACTACAATGCACTGTGTTTTAAATAAATAAAAACTTAAATATCTTACTCCCATCTCACATTCTCCACCTTCCATCCTGCACGCCCGACATGTTCTGTCTGAACCTAGTCTCAGGTTTAAAAAACCGTTACATTCATCCCTCCCTGTATTGAGGTTCACTTATTGTGGCTTCACTGTATCTCAGATTTAAAATCCGTGACACAGTGAAGCCGCAATAAGTGAACCGCGATATAACGAGAGATGACCATATAACTTCACTGATGAGTTACCCATGTAGAATTTTATAAGTTGTTAAGATTACGTAGGTTTAAGAGTGTAGAAAGTGTTTAAGAGCATATGAAGTGTTTATAAGAGTGTGGAAAAGGTTAATAAGGGAGTGGGAAAGGTTTATAGGAGCGTAGGAAGGGTTTATAAAGCCTTAACATATATATAAATAATAAAATGAATATAACGCCGCTACCTCTTGGATTTTCATCTATTGCGGGGGTCTCTGGGACATAACTCCTGAGACAGGTGAGGGATCACTGTGCTCTGAACCGCGCCCCTCCCTAGCTCTCCGAAATACGTTCCCCTCTCTAGCTGGTGACTCAACCCAGATCTAAATCGTCTCTTCCTTGCTGCCACACAGGACTCACTGTCCTGCTCAGTGCTCCTTCTGGCTTTCCTGGGCCGCCCTCCTTCCCAGGAGGGGGACAGATGCAAATGCCACCCGGGGGAGAGTGGAAGTAGAAAAGGGGTATGAAACCATCTTAAACACGGGCAAATTAATTTTCTGACAACAACAAAACTTTCTAAAACAGAACATAAGATTCGTATGAGGATAAATGCCCCATCTCCCCTTCTCCTCCTATAATTTTATAGGCTGTAGGAGATGAGATGCTACCAAAACTTTCCCAAAGAAGCCTCTAGCTCACTTATTTGTGCAATCTAACCCCCCCAAAAAAACCCACAAAATTACCTGCAAAGCCGTAGATACAAACTCACAGAACAGACTGGCGGCTGCCAGAGGTGGGGCTGGGGGTATGTGGGTGAACGGAGTCAAAAACTAGAAGACAAATGAGCCCTGGTGGTGTCACATGCAATATGGTGACGTCTCTGTGACAGTTGCTAAGAGTAGATCTTAGCAGTTTTCGTCACAAGAAAAACATGTTTGCACTTCCATGTGGTGACGAGTGTTAAGCAGGCAGACTGTGGAGACCTTTCCTGATACCTGTAAACACTGAACCATTGTGTTGCACGCCTGAAACTATTCCAACGTGTCAATTATATCCTACTTTTTAAGAAGCAGGGGACTTCCGCCAAGATGGAGGTGTAGGTGGAACCACCTTGCTTCTGTGCACAACGAAATCTAAGAACAACTATTTTTAACAACAAAAAACACAACCAAGCCACACAGAAAATCGACAATACAGAGTCCAAAGACAACGAAATGCTCGGCTAAACCGGTAAGAGGAGCGAAGCCAGCAGCGGAGCAGGTTGGGGAAAAAAAAAACCCCCGAACGGGTGGTGCGCGAGCAGCCGAAGGTGCAGATCGCGGGCTGGCTACGGGAGCACAAAGGGAAGAGGCGCGGCGGGCTGTCTGCGGTCGGTCGCGCATCTGTGTGCGGATAAACCAGTGAGGAGGGGAGCCTGCCCGGGGTAGCAGGCTCGCACAATTCCGATCGGATAAACAGGCCCGGGGCGAGTGGTGTGACTGGACGGACTGGGCTAGCGGAGAGGACCGCCATTGCTCCCTCTCTGACCACGCCCCCACACACAGCGTCACAAACCAGCGACCTGGGTTGCCCCGTCCTGGTAAACAATTAAGGCTTCGCTCCGCTTACTTAACGTGCAAACAGACCAAAAATGACTCTAGGACAACTCAGAGCCCCAGAGCCGATCAATCTAAGCGATGAAGAAATAGCCAAACTTTCAGATGCACAGTTCAAAATACTGGTTATCAGGATCCTCACAGAACTGGTTGATTTTAGTCACAAATTAGAGAAACATATGGAAGCTAAACTAATTGAAATGAATGGTAATACAAAGGAAACCAATAGTAATGGAAAGGAGATTGGGACTCAAATCAATGGAGCGGACCAGAAGGAAGAAAAAAATGACCAAACAGAAAAGAATGAAGAAACAAGAATTCAAAAAAAATGAGGAGAAGCTTAGGAACCTCCAGGACATCTTTAAACGTTCCAACATTCGAATTATAGGGGTACCAGAAGGGGAAGAGTCACGAGTGGAAACCTTATTTGAACAAATAATAAAAGAACTTCCCCATTCTGGCAGAGGAAATAGACTTCCAGGAAATCCAGGAAGCTCAGAGAGTCCCAAAGAAGTTGGACCCAAGAAGGAACACACCAAGGCACATCATCATTACATTAGCCAAGATTAAAATGAAGGAGAGAATCCTAGAAGCAGCAAGAGCTAAGGGGACAGTCACCTACAAAGGAGTTCCCATCAGACTGTCAGCTGATTTCTCAAAAGAGACCTTACAGGCAAGAAGGGGCTGGAAAGAGGTATTCCAAGTCATGAAAACCAAAGACCTACAACCAAGATTGCTCTATCCAGCAAAGTTTTCATTTAGAATGGAAGGACAGATAAAGTGCTTCTCAGATAAGATCAAATTCAAGGAGTTCATCATCACCAAGCCCTTATTATAGGAAATGTTAAAGGGACTTACCTAAGAAAAAGAAGATAAAAAAGATGAACAGTGAAAGGACAGCAAACTCACGGTTATTAAGAACCACACCTAAAACAAAAGCAGACTAAGAGGACAGCTAGATCAGGAGCAGAACCATAGAAATGAAGATCACGTGGAGGGTTAGCAACAGGGGAGTGGGAGGAGGAGAAGGGGGGAGAAGGTACAGAAAATAAGTATCATAGACAGTAGGTAGAAAATAGATAGGGGGTAGGGCAAGAATAGTAGGGGAAATACAGAATCTAAAGAATTTGAGACACGTGTTCATGAACTAAAGGGGGAAATGGTGGGGGAGGGGTATGCAGGGTGGAGGAGAATGGAGGAGGGGAATAGAACAAATGTAATGGCATAATCAATAAAAAATTTTAAAAAAAAAGCAGAAAAAACCTGGCTGCTGACAGAACATGACCCCTGCCCCCGGAGGGGGCGTTCCCACCGCCTCCACCTTCATGGGGTCCTGGGGCCAGAACGAGACAGGACACTGCCCTCGGGAGGCTGGTTGGGACAAAGAATCTGGCAGCGGGACCCGGGACCCATTCATTAGGGTGAGACAGCGTCTCTGGTGTGAGTTAGCGCTCAGAGAGACCGACACTTCTAGAACAGTGCACTGCCACCTCCTGGTGGGGAAAAAGAGTCCAAACTAAGAAATACGAGAGTGGGCTCCCACTCGAGGCCAGGAAGCTCAGTGCCTGGAAAATGCATTGGCAGCTGGGACTGGACACACAGTTTTATTTTATGTGTGTATTTTGATGTCTGACAACCTGAAAATCCTTTCTGTCTAGTGAGACACCACCCCTCCTGGGATTAGCCAATTCTCTTTTTCTTTTTAAATTACTTTTTTTCATCAAGGTAACGTTGGCTAATAACATTGCGTAAGTTTCAGGGGGGCAGCGCTGTAATTCACTGTCTGTACACACCACTGAGTGCTCACCCACAAAGTCTGGTTTCCGCCTGTCACGGTGCAATTGTCCCCCTTCACCCATCCCGTCCCCCACCCCTCTGGTCACCAGCATTCTGTTGCCTGTATCTGTGAGTTGGCTTTTGTTTTGTGCTCCTGTTATAATCCATATGAAATCACACGATTTCGTTGCTTTCCTTCCGACTCATTTCACCCAGCCTAACACCCTCAAGATTCATTCAGGTTGTTGCAAATGGCGACATTTCATCTTGTTTATGGCTAAGGAGTGTTCCCCGTTAGATACGGCACATCTTTACCCATCCATCCGTGGATGGACACGTCGGCTGTTTCCACATCTTGGCTATTGTGGAGAAGCCGAGAGCATGTGAGTGATGTGAAAACCGACCACCCGGGCTCAGACCTCCCCTCTCCGACCCACCCCCAGAGTGACGGCGGTGCCCCTCTGCCCCTCTTCCCCTTCCTCCCAGGGCCAGGTGCAGGCCAGGGAGCGGCACCCACGTCTGCGGCCCGAAGCCCCCTGGCTGGTCCTGAACTGCCGGTCCGCCCAGCCTTCCCCACAGAGACCCAGAGACAGGCCCCGCCTAAGCGCTCCCGGGGCCCCTGCTCTCCGCCTCCGGGTCACCCTGAGTGCCAGGCCACCCCCTCCCCATCTCCAGCACCTGTGGGTATAAAGAACTTTGTTTTCCCGGAGCCTCTCCTCTGCCTCCTCTTGTGGCCGCACGTGACTGACCATCTCACAACGGAGGACAAAACACAGCTGCAAGCTGCTTAGGTCAATGGGTCAAGCTCAAGTCACAGCCAAGTGCAGAGCAGAGACGCTCCCTCTGGCTGCCCCAAGGCTCAGGGGAGTGTCCGCCACTAGCTCTCTGGGATTACGTGAGGGCGGCGGGAAGGGCTGGCTGGCACCCCCACCCCCTCTGCGTGGCGGGGGGGCTGGACGCCCCCCTGCGAGTGGAGGGGCCCCCGTACCCAGCAGGGCTGTGTTGTCCAGAAGCACCCTTCCTTTGTCCGCAGCCTCCTCGGTGTAGACGTCCCCGACCAGCAGCAGTTTGATGGCCTCCTGCTTCACCCCGTCAAAGAAGTTGGACTGGATGGTGCGAGACACGGACCGGGCCCCATCCTTCAGCTTCCCCACCTGCCGGGAGCCGGCCCACGGGCCGTGAGAGGGGTCCGCGCCGGCCCCGGCCCTCCCTCTCCCCCTCCGCCTGCCCCTACCTTGGCCTTCCCCTCCAGGGCCCGGCTGCCCGTGAACATCTTGCTCAGGCTGTGTCCATTCAGAGACCACATGGCTTTGAAGGCCTCCACAAAGCGGTCAGCGATGGGCTTCGAATTCAGCTGCAGGCTCTCGAGCTGCAGGTGAAGGACCTGGGGGAGGAGTGAGGGACAGCTGTCGCTGGCGTCTCACCTGGAAGCTTCCCCAGGGCCGCCTGCTCCCATCACCATGTGGGCTCCTTCCTCGGCAGACGGCGGGGCACCCTGCACCCTTCCGGAGGAGGGGGGACCTTTGCAGCCCAGAATGGGGCCCCCCACTTATCTTTATCATCCCACCCAGCCTTCCTCTGACCCCCTTACTCCTGACGCCCTGTGCCCAACCACCAGGGGGCTGGACGGGAAGCCAGGGCAGTTCTTGGACCCCACGCCTCCTGCAAGCAGGGAGCCAGGAGAGATCACCAGGCACAGACAGACGGGGGCTTCCCTCTGAGGCCTCAAGCCAGACTCATGTCATCAGCCCAGCAATCCGTTCACAACAGGCCTTCTAGAACCACTGGTCCCCAGAGTGCCCCTGGGCCACCATGTTTGAGACGCACGACTGTCGGCCAGAGGCAGCCCAGCTCCCAGAGGCCCTCTCTCCGGACGCCCGGTGCCCCAGCCCCACCTCTCCACAGCGAGGCAGTGAGCCCAGGGACGCCCTCATCTGGCCCCACTGAAGGCGGGGGTGTGACACAGGTGGCCCGGGGACCGTGGCAGGTACAGACCTCGAGCGCGATGAAGCTCTGCACGGTGTTGGTTCGGTCCAGGCAGTCGAGGCAGTTCATCCGCAAGGTGCCTTTCTGAAACCTGAGGGCGATGGCGAGAAGTAAATGGCGACATGTCGTGCGCGGAGGAGCAATGGTGGCAGCACACGTTAGACGCCCGCCAAGGACACGTGGCCCTCCCTAGCAGCTCATGGGGACCCTGTCCTCGTCCTGATGGAGCCTGGCACTGCTGGGTGGCAGGCAGACCCCGGGGCACGCACTCGGCAGCCCGCACACCAGGGGCACCGTAAACACAGTTCACTCTCCCAGGCGATTCCCCAGAGGCACGTTCTCGAAAGTCGCTGCGACACCTGGGGAACTGGACCACGAGCACACACACAGACGCTGGACCGCTGCTCCTGGGGAAAGTCTGGGCCAGGTCCCCGAGAGCTGCTGGTCACACGTTCCCATCCACCGACGGACACAGAGCCTCACCTGTGGGTGCGTCTGTTTCAAGACACCTCACTGAGCGCACGTCTTTCACTCATTCACATTGAACTCGCCGCCCATGGCGCTCCCACAGCTGGACAGGGCTTCTCTCACATCTCCCCCGTCAAGGCACGCCCTGCCCTCCCTCTGAGGAGGGTCCCTGGACAGCCCCCTACCACCACACTGGGGGCCACTTTGGACAGAGAAATTGCCTGAAAGTGCACAGAAGCATGAAAACTCAGCCCTGAGATGGCATAAGGGACACCGGTGGCAGCACAAGAGCTGAGCAGGACAGCAGAGCCTAGTGGGGACAGGCATCACCGGTGACAAAGCTGTCACTGTTCTGAGCGCGTCTGTGAATGTGCGTGAGTGTGGATTTGGGACCATGAACACATGTTAGTGAGTGGGCACCTCTGCAAATACAGAATCTGGGGATGAGGAGGCTCTACCGCGTCGCACTTTGAGGACCCTGGGCCTCCTTTCCCTGCTGAGCTCCGAGCAGGGAAACCCTCCACTCCCAGGGGTTTTCATCACCGTCTGTCTGGGCAAGTGAGGTGGTTACCGTGGCTCCATGCGGCAAGCCAGCCCCTTTTACTGGTCTGCTTAACATGCTTCGCTGCCTACTCACAACACTCAAAAGCATGTCTGACCTTGGGGGAGGGAGGAGCGGCCGGAACCCTGAGCCCACGCCCCGTTGCCAGTGGCAGGGCCCCCCAGTGCCCCCGCAGCCCGGCCCCGCAGGGGGACGGCGACGCGAGTGGAGACTCACCGTGGACTCACCGCCTCGCCCTTGGTGAACACGCCAAAGTCATCCCAGTGGAGCTGTAACTGGGGCCTCAGGAGGTTCTCCAGCTTCTCGAGCTTCCCGCCTTTGGCAAACTGATGGAAGTCAAAGTTTATCATAGGCGTGTCCCCGGCGTGGCAAGAAGCCCAGAGCAACTTCTGAAAGGGGAGAGGGAGAGAGTGGCAGGGGACAGGGAGCCAGGACCGTGACCGCAAACCTTTTGCAGCTGCGATCTCAGTGGCCGAACCACCGCTCAGTGGAGCACGCGGGGTCCACTTCATGGCACACAGTGGCCCAAGTGGTTCACCAGCCCCGAGCCCGACAGGCAAGCACGGAGCAAACCCACAGACCCACAAGGAGAATCTTGCCTACAGAGGGTCCAGCTTGGGCAAAAGACAGCCAGGGCAGGTGGGGCTCGCCTGGGAAGCCCCCAGCCCTGCTCCGACATCACCCTCCTGCAGGGCTCTCCAAGGTGCTGGTGATGGAAGGGGCTCTGTGTCCTCAGGCACCAAGTGCCACAGGCCCCTCTCCCAGCTCACGATTCAGCCTGAGGCTGCCTGGTGACCAGGCCCATCCAGACAAGCACAAGCCTCCAGGCGGGTGTGCTCTGACGGGGCTGAGCCTCCCGGCAGGCCTCTGGGTGCTCTTGGCAGAGGCTTCCCTTCCACACAGGGAACCTCACTGGTGGCTCCTCAGCTCCCTCTGCAGCCCTGAGGTCCAGGAGACCTGGCAGCCTTCCCAGAGGCCTGGCTCAGGCCCCACACCCTGCCTCGCCCCGCCCCCATGGCCGCAGGTCAGACTTGTCCAGAGCATCTAATGACTCCGAGGACTAGAAGGACTTCCAGGCTGCCTGGCCCCCATGAGTCAAAGCACCAGTACCTGCACCCTGGGCCAGAATGCAAATCGATGCCCCGGGGGCCACCACCCAGAGTCTTGCTATGAAAATCGAGTTGGCTGAACTAAACAGCGTGTTGCTTTATGCTCTGGGGAGAGCACCTTGCCCTCCAGGGCCTGATGACTGCCTGCAGGCAGGTGTGTGGACCTCAGCATTACCGGGCTGGTGGGCGGCGGGCCTGGCCCATGGGACCGCTGAGTCTCCAGCCCCTCTTCTGACACAAGAGCCCGTGGGCACAGGAGGCACTTGCAGCAGCTGACAGCTGCTGAGGACATCCCTTCCCCCACCTCAAGGCATAAAGCAAGAAGAGATTTTTGGGTTGCCTTCCCCCCTTTTCCTTTTTCCTTACAAGAAGCTGCCAACGTTGCTGCCAAGAAGAGCGGAAGGGAGATATTTCTCAATCTCGTTGCTAGTAGCAACAACCAAACAGGAAAAGCAGGTCTGGCCAACTGGAAGTCTGCTCCAAGCCCAGGCTTTTCTGAGCAGAGTGAAGTGGGCACCAGCAGGGTTCAGCCGGTCAGGGAGGGGTCAGGGGTCAGGGGGACAGCAAACGCCACTGCTCCCGAGGTGAGGTCTGACTTCAAACTCTCTCCGTCAGAGGTGTCCTTGGTCGGGGATGGCCAGAGGGCTTTTCTCCATCCAGTGGGGGCCGTGGGAGATTGGAAAAAGGCTGGGGGGGCCCATTCTGGAACCTCTCCCTGACGCAGAGAACTGGATACACACAGGAGCTCTGGGAACAGTGGAGACCAGGGCGGTGGTGGTGGGAGGGGAAGTGAGGTTGGGGGGGCTTTTACTTCAATTGCTTCCTGCCCGGCCCAGGGTTTCTCCTCACAGATCCCTGACCCTGGGCCCGGGAGCCCCAAGGAGCCCTCATGGATAAGAAGCTGCTTCAGGAGCCCAAACGAGGGTGGAAGGATGGAGGGCTCCAGGTTAGCAGGCGGGAATCATGTAAGTTGCTTGTCTTAAAACGTCAGGGGCTCTGAAGGGCCACTGCAGGGCCCCGTGCAAGCTTGCCAGGAGGTGCAGACCCAGGGAGGAAGGGGAGCTCAGACTTCTGAGCAGGTCAGGGGTGCGTGGGGCAAGCCCAAACATTCGTGCACACATGCGTGTGCATGTGAGTGTGTGTGCACATCCATCCAGTGGGAGGCTCTGAGGGAAATGCAGCCAGGGACGAAGGCGACCTGTTTTGAGTCTGAGCAAATTGTCCCGGCCATCAGGTCAGGAGCCCAAATCGCCTGGTGAGGAAAGACCTCCCCAAACTCGGTGAGCTCTGCGATACCCTTTCCAGCCACCCTCCCTGCCCCGCCAGGGAGCCTGCCTCCAGAGAGCAGGGGCCCTAGCTGCCCGCTCCGTGTCCGCCACACGCCCACGCCCTGTGTGTTTACCTTGAAGGCTCTGTTGAGCACCTCCTCGCCACCTCTGCTCCCCAGCAGGTTCACGACCACTTGCTTCCCATACTGCTCCTTCAGAAGTACCATATGCCTGCAACAGAGCAGGGCAGCACTGTGACCCCGTGTCCCCAGGACACAGACGGCCCCGCCTTCGAGGGGCGAAGGGGTGGAAGGGCCTCGCTGGGCACTCAGTTCCGGCACAAGCACCTGCATGAAAGGCTCCGGCCAAGAATAAATAAACTGCCCTGTTCGGTGTGGCTCAGTGGACTGAGTACCGGCCTGCAAATCAAACGGTGGCTGGTTCAATTCCCAGTAAAGGCACATGCCTGGGTTGCAGGCCAGGCCCCCAGTAAGGGGTGCACGAGAGGCAACCACACACTGATGTTTCTCTCTCCCTCTCTGTCTCCCTTTCTAAAAATAAAGAATAAAATCTTAAAAAAAAAAAAAAAAGGAATACATGAACCCAGCACACCAGAGGAAGGGCTTTCTATAAAGCACCCCATCACATCTAGGACAGCAGGCTTGGCCTCATCAACAGAGCCTTGGAAACGCCATGTGCCTATCTGTGCAGTGACTCCGCTCCACTCAGTACGCCGCAGGTCCTGTGAACTAGAGCCCTGATAGGAGGGCAGTCCACCCCGGGGTCCGACTTTTACCTGAGTGCTGCATTGTATGAGGTTTAACCCAGACAAGACGGCACAACAAAATTTCAGTCTCAGGAAAGTTATTTGTATATCAGAAACCATTTTAAAAATACCTATGTTGAAATATTAGGGAGGGATTATAATAGCTTTTATCACCAACTTTCGAAAGGCAAATTTATAGTTTTAATGATAGAAATGGTTAGACGTACTATTCGTAAAAGCGTAGGAAGAAGACACAATGTAAAAAGCAGATAGAAAACTAATTTCATGTGGCCATTTTGTACCTAAATATAGAAAAAAGACCAGAAGATAACATACTGTGATGTTAAAAGGGGTGGCATTTTATGTCATTTAAACTTTTTTCTTCTTTAAACACTTCACTATTTTCCAAATTTCGATGTTTAATTTATAAAGAGATTTAAACAATTATCACCAAAGAACACTTTGTAACCAGTCCTCACCAGAGGACAGTTTTTCATTGCTTTTGGAGAGAGAGGAAGAGAGAGAGAGAAACATGGACGTGAGAGAAAGGCAAACACTGAGTGGCAGCCTCCCATTTGTGCCCCGACCAGGCACTGGACCACGCGCCAGCCAGCCGAGCCACACGGGCCGGGGCACGATTATCCCCCGTCAGAGAAAAAACACTCTCCGACTACCTCTGAGGGGCAGCACTGGGTACAAGAACATGATTCGGAAGTGGGCAGCTTGGCTTTCTCGGCTGACCAGTGGAGAAGACGCGCGCCTGTGTGGACAAACTCCCCCAGAGCAGTGCTCCGGGCAGCCCTGCCTGCCCTGCAGTCCCTCGGGGGGGAGACGGTGGGGAGACGTAGGCACGGGTGAGATCGGAGGACTCAGGGGCTCTGGCAGCTGTGCACGGGCAGCCCCGGGTGAGGCTGCCGGAAAAAAACGAAATATTCACAGCCTCCTGGCCCTTCTGCCTGCTCTGTCAGGTCTGCCTGTCCAGGGAAGGGGCATCCTGACCTGAGGCCTGGCAGGTGGACCGAACAGCAGGCCCTGCTCTGGAGGGACAGCTGAGGGACAAGAGTCATTTCACTGGCTCCAAGGGACAGAGTTTAGGAGTCCACACCAAGGGCAGCGAGAGTAAGGCTGCCCCTGGCCTCGGTGGCTCTGTGCACGTAGGGTCTTTTGTTCACACTTTCTACCCACCTGCTGCTGTCACAAGGAGCAGTCGGGAAACTGGGAGGTTTTCGGGTCACTGAGGAGCCAGAGTTCCCTCTGGCATAGCCTCCTCCAGCTCAGCAGAGCAGAGGGACCGACAGTTAAACCCACACAAAGGGAGGGAGGGCGGACAGAGCGGCTTCACTGTCCCCTGGAGGTGACACAGGGCACTGCCCAGTGACAGAGTAACTGTCATCAAACTGCGCGACGCTGCAGTCACAGCCCATGGCCTGCTCAAAACGCCCCCTTCCTCCAGACACGGCAGACGGACAGTGGAATGACAGTGTGTGACACGGGAAGGACGAGAACTCCGTGGGTGTCAGAGCGACCCACAGGAAGGGCTTTGGTGTGAGGGCAGGTGGAGGGACTTCCTCTGGACCAGATGCACCGAAGAACTGTGAGACGCTTCGCAGCCCTGTGAAGTCCCAGAGATCTGTGCCCTCCAGGGGTGACGCAGCCCCGCTCCCCGGGGGCCCACAGCGCCCCATCATGGTCTGCTGGAGCAACCCGCGGCCTTACTCCCAAACACTCGCTTCCAAAGTGCTCCGCAAGGACAGCGGCCCTGTCAGCAGCTGTCGGGACATCCGGGCAGCTCCTCCAGCCGGGGCCAGAGATGGCTCAGAGCTGGTCCTGCCTCCCAGTTGGGGGCATGGGAAAGGGGGGTGACTGGAAGCCCGAATCTGAAGCGGTCACTGCCTGCAGAAGGGCGTATGGTCAGTCTCAGGAAGGTACGTGGCGATTCACAGAGGAGACTGAATTTGCCCTCAGACTTAGGGGAGAAGTGAGTGTGGAAGAGGAAGGGCTTATACTCTCAAGTACACTCACACACACTGATGTAAAACAAAGTCTATGGAATGTTCTTAACTTTTTTAAAAAAAGGTCATACAGACATGAAGGTTGCTTCCGGCCTACTCAGGAAGAATTTCATTTTAGTTACATGTTTACTATTTCCTATGCACATTTAACAGAGATCAATGTCAACTAAAAGAAGCCTATATGCACCAGCACAGACAACTTCAACAGTGTCCGGGCGGGAAAGGCAGTATCTCGTTCCAAATAGGATACGTGTCTCTTCCCAGGAAAAGCCACTGCCGGGGCCGTGCTCACGCGGCTGGCGGTGCCGGTCTGTGGCAGGGCGGCCACAGACAAGTTTCCCGTCCACATGGCACTTCCGGTGCAGGATTAAAGTACGAAATTACTTTTTGAAATCTTATGACAGTCTCTAACATAATCTTTAAACTTAGTATTTAGATGAAAAAAAGCAGACATTTTAGGAAGCTATTAACTACTCAAGTTCAAATTACTGACAGCTCAGGTTAACAATGGCTTTTCCTAAGCAAACTGAAAAATACTGTGTTATGTATGATTCAATTTGTGTTTTAAAACATGAACTATGTATATGCCAATTCTTCTAGAATGATAAACGAAAAAAACTAATAGTAAAATCCCTAGCAGGGGGAAATGGAAATTAGGGTACTTTTACTTCTCACTTTATACCTTTCAATATGTTGACTTTGAAAACCTATGAATGTTACTTTAAATAAAAAGATTTTCTTTATTTTTAGAGCGAGGGGGAGGGAGGGAGAAGGAGAGGGAGAGAAACATCGATGTGTGAGAGATACATCGTTTGGTTGCCTCTCACACGCCCCCAGCCAGGGACCTGGCCCATCACCCAGGCATGTGCCCTGACTGGGAATCAAATCGGTGACCCCTGGGTTCGCAGGCCTGCACTCAATCCAGTGAGTCACACCAGCCGGGACAAAAAAAAAAAAAACAACCTATGACTGTTACTTTTAAAACAAAATCAAATAGCTACAAATACCCTATCATTTAGATGATCCTTACTAACTAAGGGGAATGGATAAAACTTCATTGCAGAAGGAACTGGTAAGATAATTCCAAGTGTTACTTGTGCATTTACTACTGAACCTTCAGGGAACTTGAGAGCAGGTGAAAATCTCATTTTGGAAACTCCCTTTTGCAAAGAAGCAAAGCAAAGGGCAAATTTAGATCCAGGATGGGGGACCCTCCCCTGCCTGCTGTCCCCTATGCTACTGTCTGATGGAAGACAGACCCCAAAGCAGGACAGGCTTAGCATGGTGTCAGATGACCTTGACCCCTAAGGAGGAGAGGCTTAGGATGGTGTCAGGTGACCTTACTTGTCGAAAGCAGGGGCGTTGGCTTCCAGGCCTCTGTTGAGTCTCAGATGATGGGAGCCAACCTAAAACAAAGAGAAACCACACCAGTGACTCCCAATGCTCTGTGAACCCAGGGAGTGGTGGTCTCCCCCCATCCCATCTCCACCCCACAAGCTGCCAGCCAGGCCTTCATTGGCCCTTTCTCAGGCCCCTCAGAGGCCGCTCCCAGCCCAGGAAGGCCAGGCCTTGAACTCCGGCCCCTAGGCCTAACTCAAGGGCTGCTACAGCCCAGACCAAACTGCAGCGCAGACCACACCACTGGATCCTTCTGCAGACAGAAGGGAAACTGTGGGGGTAAGACCACGAGGCCCACGCCAGAGCCACAAACGCCTCTGCGGTCAGAGGTACGGCCATGCCAACAGGAGAGAGACCACGGTCCCAGCATCCTCTACAGCAACAAGGCCCTCGAGTGCCCCTAAAACCTGAGCTATTAATGACCTGCAAACTAATGTGCCTTATTATTCAGAACTGGCTATTGCACACTGGAAGTTTAAAAAACAAGCTTAAAACTACATACTGTTACTGGAGCCAGCCTGGCAGGGCTCTCTCTGAACAAAGCTGGGACATTTCGAGTACTGAACTAGTTAAGAACAGTGATGGACTGTGATGTGAGGGATGGATGGGAGCTCATGCACGGACCTGCGCAGAGGAGAGCCGATGGCTGGGTTCATGGTTGGGTAGGCAGGTGGCTGGGTGGGCAGATGGTGGGCAGGTGGATGAAGCAGAAGGGAGGGCTCTTCCCTGGAGGAGGACACCTTCTGACAGATGCGGAGGGAGTGGTGGGAAGTCCCCAACTTACAGCCACGACAGTCAAGTCAACAATCACCCAGCATCAGCCAGGACTGGAGGGTCCAGTGGGGGGCAGGATGCTGGCTGGGCCTCGGAGCGTCGCCCACAGGATGCTCATTGGTTGACAAGCAAAAGGTACTCACTGTAAGTGAAGGCACTGAGTAGCACCTTGCCCAGGGGATCAAAATTCACATCGGTAATGAGGGGCAGGGGGACACCCCGAGAAGGACACAGCATCAGAGATTGAGACCCTGAACCTGGCTGTGACGAAACGCCAGGGATCGCCAGGATGAAGCACATTCACTATAAAGAAAAGGGCAGCCAGTGTTCCCCAAGAAAGGTCGGTATCACAAGAGACAGAAGGCAGAGGAAGTGGCTGAGACTACAGGAGACCGGAGATGTGACAACTAACTGCGATGTCATCCAGGCCGGGGGTGGGGCGGGCAGCGCTGAGACAGGCATCACCGAGACGACTGACTAACCTGGAATGTGGGCCGCAGGCCAGATCAAGGAGCTGTGCCGAGGTCACCTTGCCTGCACGTGTCCCTGGACCGTGGTGACATGAGAGAGGGTCTCTGCTCTCAGGAGAAACGGCCCGACGGGACAACACGTTGAGAGAAGGCGCAACCTCCTCTCAGCAGTTCAGAGTGTGACAGCACATGTGTGTATGACGAGATGGTGACACTCGGTGCCCCTGGGTGAAGGACACAGCCGTTCTCTCCAGTGCTGTGCCAACTTGGCTGCAGGTCTGAGGCTATTTCAAGATCGCTTCTTAGCACGTACTGCTCAGTCTTGCTGTCACTCACTGAGTGTCACAGAAACGGTGCCGCGGACTCGCCCGCACAATCAGATGCGGTTCCCTTGAGCACGCACCGAGTGGTGCTCGGCAGCGCTCCGCCCCACAGGCCGCACAGCGTCCCTGTCCCCGCCGCGGAAAGTGCCCGCCTAGAAAACCGGCCTCTCAGCAGCAGATCCGGAGGGTCTGGGGTGGGTGTGCCCATCTGAATGACTATAAATAAAGCCCCAGGTCCCTTTTGGTTCCAAGAAACCCCGCTTTCCAGGGGGCAGTCCACACCTGGCTGAGGACAAGAGCCCCCCAATATTCCAAACTCGCTCCCCACCCGGGGCCAGGAGGATGGCTGGGCCAGGCACCCCCAGGCAAGGCAGGGCCCATCTGTTCTTCTGGATTCCCGTGGAAACTGGGTCTGCATCCCTCGCAGCCACCCTGAGCGCCCCAAGGCTAAACCTTAGAGAAGGCGCGGCTGCTCCATGTCTGTCTGTCTGTCTGTCTGTAAGTCATCACCAGAAATCTCCCCGTGCTTCACGGAGACTGCGGCTGTTTTTGGAGTTGTCCCCAGGGGAGCGCAGTAAGGGGAGGACAGAAAAGGAGGGCTCGGAGGCCTGGATCTCAGCCATGACCGTCCGGTTACCGGACGTGTCTAACTGTCCCTCCCCAAGTCACAGCCCAACGTTTCTCCTCAAACAGGAATTTCAGCCACAGATGACCCAACTGGACAGTGTCCAACCTGTGGGCTCAAAACTCCTCCCACCACAAGAACAGTGTGTCACCAGCCCTGGACGGCGTCAGTGAGCGCACCCCGACACCCACGTCGGCACGGCACTGGCTGCTGCCATAGAAAGGCCGGGGAGACGGGGGACCCTGAATTCCCTGCCCTGGACACTTCCTCACAACGGAATGCCAAGGGAAGACCTAAAAACACATTTCCAGGTTTCCACCAAGACCGCCCGACAAGAGCAAACTAATCAGATGGACACCGCGCCCCTACCAAGAACAAGCGGTGTAGCAGGGCAAGATGCCCCAACAGTGGGACTCAGAGATGGCGGGGGACCAGCCAGAAGCAGCAGCCCCCGCCTTCCCCACCCTGCCCCCTCCTCTGTCCACTCTGACACTGACCCACATCGGTCCTCTCTGGTGTCACTTAGCTCCAAGGCCACGCTGTGTCGGAAGCCTGAAGGAGGAGCTCCAGTCAGGGCTGGGATGAAGCCACCTCTGGCAACGGCACACTGGAGCCGAGGTGCTTTCTGTGGTCCCCCTCCTTCTCCTTCACCCACTGTCCTCCCGTGGCCGGGTGGACACGTGGACAGTCTCTCCCATCTGAAGTGAGTCCTCACTTCACTCCTACAGACCACAGACCCAGGGACGGTGGCCACGAGAGTAACCCCAGACTCGCAGATGCCTGGCTGAGAGTTGGCCGGGAGTCCGCACGGGCACTTCAGAGAGCCCCAGGCCACGAAGGGCGACTGTGAGTCTCTCCAGTCAGCCCACTGCATGCCTCTCTCTTCCCAACTCCAAGTTCAGGAACATGGAGCTGGTGCCTTGAAATTGGCCACGATGGGAGCATTTACACCACAGTAATGGGCAAATGCTGCAAACTGACTTCTCATCCTGGAACTCAGAAAACTGCTTTATCGGCATACCCCTGCATGGCCCCCAACCCTTCCTGAGCGTGGCAGTCAACAAGAGGTTCTCAGAAAGTACGCGTGCCTGGCTCCTACCCCAACACTGCGATGTAATCGGGGTGTCATGCAGCCTGGGCAGCGGGAGCTTTGACGTTGCCCAGGTGACTCCGACGCGCAGCAAAGTTTGGGCACCGCTCCTTTGGTGGGTCCTGGGCAGGGAAGTGAAACCTCCTCAGCAGAACGTACAAACCTGCCTCGATCTGGCCCTTGCCTGCCTTTCCCATCCCACCTCCCTCCAAGCCCATGCCCAGGACTGCAGGCAGCCGGACCAGAACACTACCCTCTTCTGCCAGGAGCTAAGCAGCTACAACGCCTGCACCCACAGCTCCCTCGGCAAGGCCTTCCCTCCTTGCCCCGTGATTCTGCCCCGGCCTTCCCGAGTCCGCTCAGACGCTGCCCCCTCGGCCTGGGCGAGCGGCCCTCCCCGGAGCTGCCTCTCTCAGGGGCTCTATTCACACAACGCTGTTGTTCCCTGTCTGTTCCTCCCCAGAGGCTGTACCCGATGCCAAGGACTATGCCTCATGTAGCCCTGATGCCTCATGTGACCCCAGACGCTCAGTGAGTGCCTATGGGATAAACGGCTTACTCCTGGCGTCTGTGGGGGCTGGGAGACGGAACAGCCTAGAAGACGGGTCCTTGTGCCGCATGCTGACAGAGCTTAGAGGGCACCGTCACCACACCTCAGCGTCCTCAGGGAGACGCAGGGGGAAACTCTCATTCCGCTTTCCAGATGCGCACAGTCCTGCTTCTCCTAATGCGACCTGGGCTTTCGACTCCTCGGTGTTATAACTCGTGTCAGTAGAGTTAACAGCTACCGTTTTCAGTGCCTTCTCGGTTCTAGATACCGTGAGAAACTCCAGTCCACATTATCATATTTAATCTTCTCCATAACCCTGAGGATGGTATTGTTGACCCCATTTCACAGAACAGTAAACTGAGGCTTAGCAAAGAAAAGAAGAACTTCTCTACTTTTTTTTGGAATAAGAACTTCATGTTTGACATGAAAACAGTTTTCGAGATAAGAACTTTTCAGAAGCACATGGTTCCTGGGCAGGAGAATCAGAACTTGAACTAGAGCCCAGGTCTGTATCACTTCATAGTCTGTGCTCTCCGTCACACGAAGAGTGACTTGTTTGATGCCGTGGTTGCCTTCAGCCCGGGGGCCTTGTGCAACGTGTGAGACCCACGACCAGAATGCACACGCAACTTCATCTTGCTTCGGCTCATTTCCATTGTACGTATTTTCCCCCCTACCCCAGCCTCCTCATTATTTTAATTTTAATTTTTTCATTTCTTAACCTCACCAGAGACCTTTATTTCCCACTGCTTTTTTGGGAGGAGGAGAAACATCAATGCGAGAGAGAAGCATCAATTGGTTGCCTCCTGTACATCTGTACATGCCTCGACCGGAACTCGAACCCACAACCTTTCAGCTATGGGACAGCACTCCAATCTACTGAGCCATACGGGGCTCTTTCTTATTTAAAACTGTGGTCCTACAAGCCATACGTGTTGGAACAAAGGATGGTACAAGCACATAAACAAGCGCATACAGTGCCCAGCACCCAAGGACTTAGTAAACAGTGTTTTTGTCGGGGGAGGAGAACGCAGGCAAAGTGGGAGCGGCAGGGAAGCGGTCTGCCCGGCCTCTGCCTCCAGCCGGCTTAGCCGCCGGGAGCTCCAACACGCAGACCTCACTCCCCTTTGCAAGACAGGGGCTGGACAAGCATGTTCCGTGGGAAGAACAAAGCTCTCACGTGACAAGGCGGGTCAAGTCTTCGACAGACTAACAACGCGCGAAATGCACACTATCACTAACTCTCCCAGGACGGCAGTTAGCTTTCAGGGTAAAATTTCAACGTGGCTATTTATAAACCTTACAACCTACTAACACAGCAAGGACGGAAGTGTTCGAGGGACACAGTTTCTAAAAGTGGCCTCAGCATCTAGGAGTTTCTGGTGAAGGCCCCGGTCCTGTGGAAATTGGCAAAGGAGGCGTCATCCCACCACCCTCTCTGCTCACCCCTCTCCCCCGCCTGCCCCCCTTCCCACAAGGCCCTGGTTCTCTGAGGCGGCCCCAAGAGGGGGCCGCACTGCAACTTAAAGGGCCAGCCTGCCACCCAAAAATATTTTCACGTTTATTATAACCTAGATGAAGAAGGAAGGGGAAAAGCTCGAAATGGAGAAAGACAACCAGAACGAGTGTTCAAGTTTGCTGTTCAAACAGTTCAGTGAAAGAGGCCACAGCTGCCCCCCCCCAGGAGCAGCCCTGCTGGCCCCCTGGGGAGGCGACCTAATTTCTCCGTGATGATGGGTGGTATTTAGATGGTACACCTGGGGGGATCAGACCCAAAGGTTAGCAAATCCTTAATAAGATTAATGAACACAAAGACTTATTTCTTTTAATCCTCACCTGAGAATGTTTTTTCATTGCTTTTAGAGACGGAGAAAGGGAGGGAGGGAGAGAAACATCGATGTGAGAGGGAAGCATGGATTGCTTGCCTTCCTGCACACACCCGAACAGGGAATCATATGCCTAGGTGGGGGATTGAGCCTGTAACCTAAGCAGGTACCCTGACTGGGAATCGAACCTGCGACCCTTCTGTTACAGGATGACACTCCAACCAACTAAGCCACACCAGCCAGGGCACAGAGTCTTTTGAAACATACTTTGAGGGAACTGTGGAGGCTCCGGAGAAGCAGTGTCAGGGTCTGAATAATGCCACAGCTGCCGAACAGCAGGACACCCAGGCCCACTGATAGGTCAGATGGCGGGATGGCTGGTTGTTCCACGGCAGGGTCAGACTGAGTCCAGGGAGGGGCTACCAGAGATCAGCCCTAAAGAGCGAATGACAGGTGAATTTTGCTCTGTTTTTAGAGGAGTGACGAGAACACAGAGGATCCTAGAAGCACGACTGAGCACGGCCAAGGAGCTGCAAGGTCTGAAGAGCCAGACCCGCTCAGGGCTACATAACCCGGATGCAGATGAGCACACTGCAGGGGACACGCTCATCACACGCCGTTCAACTGTGCTACGTGGTTCGCTGCCAAAGCCTGGCCTTGTGCTCTGCCCTCAGGTCCTGCGAGCAAGACCCCCACCTGGGGGAAGTGGACATGTTTCAGAGCGTCCTTCCCAAATTCTAAGACACTGTCATGACCGTCCCCCCAATTGGTCATTTCCTCACATGGCCTCCTCCTTTCCTTTTGCCCTCTACACATTGGATCTTCGCTTTTTATTCTTCTAAATGCAGAGCTCCAAGTTTCGGAAGGAAAACTCCAAATCTAAAGAAATTAAGTTGCAAACACTGCTTTGGACTGTCCAGAGGAGGCCAGTCTGTGGAGACAGAAGGTAGGTGAGCAGCTGCTAAGGCCTCAGGGAGAGGTGGGCGGGGAAAGGGAGCCACAGCACATGGGGACAGGGTTTAGGCCGAGGGAAAGTGTTCTGACACCAATTACGGTGATGGCCACACAACTCGGTAAATGTGCGGGACCCACGGACACATACGCTCTCCATGAGTGAAGTTCAAGTGTGTAAATCACATCTGGACAAGGCCCCTAAAACAAACACACACACTTCTGGGATGCACTCCAGAGGAATCTTCCGTGATATGACCGTCCTCGGGCGTGCTCTCCCTGTCACCACTAATGCCACCAGCTGTCCGCAGATGGCTCAGTCATTCCTCTCAATGGAGAGACGGAATGTTCACGAAGCTCTCTCTCCACCCACACAACTCAGAGCCCAAGTGAGACACGCATCTGTCTGCCTCGCTCTAAGAGCTGACGCGCCTCATTACTACGTCTGTCTGTTGGCGGCAGCACAGTGACAGACACAAGGACACTGCACCTATGGCAACACCGAGTAAAGTCAAGGGCCGGACAAAACCAGCAGTGTCAACACACCCCCGAGAGCCTGGGGGACGGCCCTGAGCCCCTTCAGTCACCTGCTGGGGACCCAACTGCTGTCACGCTGAGCCCTGAGTAACAACAGCCAAGGGGACAGAGGCTGGGCAGAGAGGTCTGCCGAGCACACCATGTCCCCTCAGGCCAGGGAGGAAGATCGGGATTGGCACCGAGGAAGCTCCAGTCCCTGGCTGTGCCCCCCACCCCAGGAACTCCGTGAGTGAGGCAGTGCCGTTCCGTTGACGACAACAAGTGTGTTCTTGGAACGCAGCACCACCCCCCACCGCCCACCAACTCCTCCCAGGAGACCAGCTGCCGAATGCCTCTGGCGCTGGCCAGAGCTGTTTTGGACCGCAAGGGGTATTTTTAGAAATCATGGGAAAACTCTGGGCAGTTCTCACGTGGCCACATGACAGGCACATGCACACGCCAGACCTGCCCCCCGGCCTCACAAAGCCCTCCGGGACAGCCGCTCTCTCAAAAACGCACCTTCAACCACGCTCTCCATATACTGAGTGAGGGTCTAACTTAAGTCACATCACGCATTCATCACGCCACTGTGCTACGTGGTTCGCTGCCAGCAAAGACCTTCCCCCCTTCAGCTGCGGGGGGTCGGAGAATCACACGTGATATGTCCGTTTCTGCACACAGACACACACACACGCACGCACACATGACTGCATGTGACAACTCATCTCAATCTGACTGGGCTGATGGAAAAGACCAGAAACTGTGCCGGGAAAGAAACAAAGTCAGAAGAAACCGTCACAGGCGTCCAGACGAGACGACAGGGGAACGGCAAGAACAGACACAGAGGTGCCGCTTTTTTATTACCTACCTGCAGCCCTGGCTGCTCCCAAAACAGCGGGACGGAGCCTCTGATCTGGACAAAGGACGACACGCCATCATCCATGTAAATCGTCTGCACCACCAAGGAAACAGAAAGGAGAGTATTCTTCAGTGAAACCCAAGGTCCGGGGCCGGTAACGGGATCCGGCCGCCTGAGACCCGACACCGGAACGAAGGGCAGACAGCGGACTTCGGGCCTGGGCTTCTCGTCCCCGAGGGGCCCTGCGGCTGCCCGATCCCCAGCCCGGCCGGCACACTCGTGGGCATGCTGGCTGCTGGCCAGCCTCGGAGCCCGGAGCCGGCAGGGCTGCCAGGGTCTGGGCAGCTGGCAGGGAACTCCCTCCGCCTCGCGGAGCTCTCTGAAAGGCCTGGCAAAGCCTGCCACCCCGTTTTAGGAGGAGAAGCAAGTGAGTGCCAGGATTTAACCAGGAGCTTCCTCAGAGCCCTGCTTTCAGGGGCAGTGGGAGAAGGGCCGAAGGGATGAACCGGACAAGCCATAGGCAAAGGTGCCATTGAGGGCACTCGTCAGCCCTGTACTTGACAATTCGAGTTGAGGCTGTCCTTGAACTTGCAGTTGGTCCTGGCCCTATGCCACTGTGTCCTTAAACCTGCCACTCACTGAGTCAATACACACAAATCAGCTGCCACAGGCTCCCAGTGTGACCTCACCTGAGCAGACACAGGTGATTCTTACATGTGGAGACCACGTCTCCTCCCCCATCCCCCCGTTATTCCGGAGTGAACCGACCCCTCGTCTGCCTGCAGGCTGCCCCTGACGCAGGTGGCCGTGTGAGGGAGTTTGAAAGGGACAAAAAGTACAGGCCCGAGCATCCCGAGGGGGGGCTGTGGCCGTTCTCAGATGCACTGCCCTTTATCTGAGTAACTCTACCCTGGCCTGGCAGGGCCGGCCTGGGCGCCACCGCCGGTCCTTTCCACTTCTTACCAGCCCGCTCCCTCACCAGGTAGCTTTCCATGGGCTAGATTGTGCTCAGGTCGCCCATGCATTAGTAATTCCGTAGTGGAGAACTTGAACATTAGACCTCGGGCTCCCGGACGGCCGGGAGCACGCGAGCCGGGTGAGCTGCATTGCGGGCTGACATTCCATCCCTGGCTCGCCAGAGGGGAAGAGCGTTGGGTTAAGAATGTGCTGCCTGCCTCTAGATGCCGACTGCTGGCTGACCAGTCACCACCCTCCGTCATTCTGCTGACCGTGATGTCACAGGCTGCTGCTTAAGCGGCTGCAGGCAGGGCCAGCCCTGAGCCCCCAGGAGGCAGAGAAGGAGGGTACCTCAGCCAGTACTTCTCCAGGAGACCACCCTTCACAGTGCCCAGGACCTGATTTCAGCTGGGGGACAGTCACCCTTTACTTCGAGGAACGCGTGGTGACAGCACCACTGCCCGCATCAGCCCTCGCACCCGTGAGCAGGAACTTGGGGGGGACCCGCATCAGAGAACCCTGGAGGTCCAGACCCCACCCCGGGGGCCAGAAGAACAGCTGCCCACCCCCCGTGTCTCCATTCCTCCGTCCCACACGAGAACATTTCAGCTCTGCATCCCATCCTCTTCGTGGGAGGTCACCTTCTCGCCCCAAGGTGACAGTTCAAAGCTGAGCCTCGGACACCTGATGGAATCACGGTGCTTCCTTTCTGGGTGAAGAACATGGGTTTCACCACCGAAAGACTGGATGCCCCCGCAGCTGCGATTTTAATGGAGGGCCCCTGGGGGCGGGGGCAGGAGGGTCAGTGAAAGGTGGGCGTGAGGGCCCTGGACCACAGCAGCACGGTCCTCAGTCCCATTTGCCCAGCAGGATGAGTCTGCGAACCTTCCTTAACCACTTTGAGCCTCAGCTTCCCGCTCTGTCACCGGGTCATGGAGAGGAGAGTAATGGAGGGAGTGTGAGTTCTTCCTGCCGGGTGCTGCCCTTGAGCATGGAGGAGGCTTCACGGAGGACAGGGAGGGACTGGGCAGGGGTCACAGCACCAGGGGACAGAGTGTAGGCCGCGGAAAGAGGGGGGTGGGGCGGGACAGAGGCAGCTGAAGGGGGGCGCAGAGCAGCTGTAATTCAGGAAGAAGGTGCCCACTGTGGCTGTGCAGTGGCCACCCCAGGCCAGGGACCCCCTGGACCTGGCCCCTCTGAGTGGCCCTCTCACAGAGCACTGGGAGCAGAGTCCCAATGGCCACAGAGAGAAAGGGACCAGGCAGGAAGCCTCAGGGCTGGGTATATACACGAGTATCCAGGGGGCTCTTTGCTGACCCTCTATTTCCAGACGAGGTGTTTACAATTCTTTCCAAGTCCGCATTCCTGGGGGGACCCACAGAGCCATCCTAACCTCCTCGGACTCATCAGGGGCCTGATCTGCAGCAGCCCAATATCCACCAGGGTTTTCTTGCAGAAGGTGGACGGAGGGGCCTCGGACGTTTTGTTTTTCTGCCTGGTGAGTGCGTCACGGCTGCAGAACCAGCCCACCAGGTCTGACTCAAGGCTTCCTCTGGGAAAGACCGAGATGCCATGTACACGTGCACACACAACACAAACGCTCACACACGTGTGCATGTACACACCCAAAACACCCCCACACACATCACGCGCTCACACAGCTTGCCTGGGGGAGAAAAGCTGCCCTCCGTCAGGGACGAGCTCCCACGGGGTGGAAGTGGGCGGTGTCGGAAGCTGGTCCCTTTGCTCTCCCTAAACAGCACATTCAGGAGAAGCCCAGCTGCCACGGGGGAGCCACCCCTGCCCTTTGTCTAGTCCTGTCGTGTGTTTGACAAGGACACCAGCAGGGCAACCTGTCAGCTGCCCTCCTGCATTTAACACAGAACTTCTGGGCCCAAACAGCTGAGGGCTTGGCCTGAGGGGTCTCATTTCCAAAGCAGGGGCCCCGGGCCAGTGGTCACCTGCGGGCAACCACCAGGAGGCCCCAGCCGCCCCAGCCGCGGCTCCTGCCCACTCTGGGCTCAGCACCCATTTTCTCCGAGATGCTGCCTGCTCCCCTAGGCGAGGACACTGGGTTTCAAAGGCTGCTGCTTCTTTAAGTGCCAGCTCACGAAGCAGGACAGAACGCTACCCGGAGGCATCGACCCCTCTGCCCACTGAACCCCTCAGCCTGAGGCCTCAGGATGCCACGCACCGTCTGCTCTCTCTCCACCGGCAACGCCATCGAGGGGGCGCAGTAGGCCCCACTGCACCGCCCTGACCTGGGGCTCACAATCGTGGCTGTGCCAACTCGAGCAGGATGTGCCGGCCCCCGTGGCCCCATCGGACCACCTGGGCCTGGACGGGTGCACTGGGGACAGGGCCCTGGGGATGGGGACAGGGCACGGGCAGGCTTCTCTCACGCTCCCTGCACTGGCGAGCTGAGCATGCCCCCAAGGCTCCAACCCCTGACTCTTCCTGAGAAGTGCCTTCAGGGCAGGTGGCCGGGAGGGAGGACCACTTAGCTGCCACTTGGCAGGAACACAGTTAAATACGTACTCCACTTAGAGACTTCGGTGTTTAAAAAAAACCCACTTAGATCGACTGAAGTGCCGATGCTGCTGCAAAGTGCGGGACAAAACCACACCGGGATTCCAGACAGGGCGCAAGTGGCACTCTCACGCGGCGAGAGGACAATGCACCCACGGCAGACAGTACTGGGTGCGCTCGGGGGAGGGGCCGACCCCCAGCAGGCTGCGCTGGGTCCACAGGCACCACCCACACCCACCGTCAGGACGCTCTCCCACAGAAGCACATGTCCTCCCGCCCCACCAGTTCTGACTCCGCTTCCCCTCCGCACGGGGCAGGCCCCCCAGCACACGGGCCCCGCCCTGCCCGCTAGTGGTCTACGGCCTCTCCCTTCTCCCCAGGCAGGGCTCTCGCAGCAAGCACCGGCTGCGGGAGCCACCCCGGAGGACAAGGACGAGCATGAGGACGCCACCAGGGCCAGCTCTCTGCCTTGTTCCTGCTGCGTCCCCGCCAGCAAGCTCACAAACTCAGCCGAGAGGCCCCGGGTTTGCTCCCAGGTTGCCAAACGGGACGCTGGGAGCTGAATCCTCCCCTCCCCCGGGAGCCACCTTCTTCTCCCACATGCCCAGGTGGGCACGTTGTCCCGGGGACTCTCTGACAGCATGCGTCACCCTGGGCCCTGCCTCCCACAGCAGAACAGAAGGTGAGGTACGAGAACAAAAGCGAGTTGCTTTCATCACAAAGACTTCACAGGGTGGGGAGAAGTAGGCTCCACTTGGGGGCACTGTTTCCCCCCTGCCAGTTTAAACCAGACATTTATTTACCTGCCTCGTCTATGTCCAGGAGCGCAGACGTTGCAAGATGTCACAGGCAAGAAACTGGCCCTGCCTCTCACCTTAAGGCCCCTGCTCAAAGGTCCTCCCATGCAGCATCTAAGTCAAGGGGACCGTCCTCCCCTCTGTGTGTCTGGAAGCCCGAACAGGCGGCAGCTTACACGCAGATGCCAGGTGCTCCAGTCTGTGCCGAATCACATGGCCTGCAGCCTCCTAGGCAAACCCTCTCCCAGCTAGAGGCGGCAGGAGGGGACACAAAGCCGCAGCCGCTAAGTAAACACAGGTGTCTGCGGCTCGACACCCACAGCCTCGCTGCACCTGTGCCTTCCACGGGTGTTCCCTCCTGATTTATTCCGCCTGCCAGCCCGCATGGGCGGCATTATCCTCCACGTTGCAAGTTACAGAGGAAAACGGCCGCTGTGAGACAGCACCTCTAGGAATGAGGACGGACTTTAGAAAACCAATCAATGAGGAACTTAGCAGATGGTCCAGTCCCCGGGCGCCAAAAGCAATGCCCACTGAGCAGGCAGCTCTCACCACGCCTGGGTGCCGAGACTGCTTCTAGGATGAAGCTTTGGTTGATTTAGAACGAAAGGGGGCCGTTGCTTCATATCTCAGGATTTCTGAATTCTATCGGTTCACCTATCGTCAGTGGCTCTCAGTGTGACTGCCACCTGGCACCATCCTGGCAAAATCCTGTTTCCTTTCATGGAAAGTACCTCGGGGGGGGGGCGGTATTTTCCCCGCATGCAAAGCAGAGGCCATGTCTGTGGGCAGGCCCCCCCACCACTGGGACTTGCTCTGTTTTCCAATCAGTGAGAAGCTGCGCTCATCAGAAACTAACTGCCTCGACTACCCCCCACCGGACACATGTTTGCACACGCGGCATCCCCTCTGAGCCACTGGGGCCAGGACCGGCCTGGGCACTGACCTGCTCCGTCTCCACGAAATTGGACACGTGGCCATCGTCGTTCACGCCGCGGATGTGGAAGCGAGCACCGGCGCGTTCGCGGCTGATGCGGGAGATGAGGCAGGCCTTGGCCTGCTTGTGCGAGGCGTACACCGTGCGGATGGCCACCACGCCGCAGATGACCTTCAGCAGCCAGTCACAGCAGCTCACCTGGTGCTGCCGCAGGGGCATGTGCAGCAGCTGGTTCCTACAAAACGGAGCGACTCGGGTCACCTCACACCCTCCAGGAAACCTCGTCCTCAGGTGAGCCAGGGAAGGCCCTGCAGCAAGGATTCCCTCTCAGCGCCAGGCAGGCTCACGCCGCTGCCCGTGGACTCACAGACACTGGGCGGGGCCACTGAGACAGGTGCAGCGGGAAAGGAATCCTCTCCCGAAGCCGCTGCACATTATGAACTGGGAATCCCATCAGTAAAAACTTAATCATGTTTTGTGATTGCATAATATTAATAAAAATAATATTAAATATATCTGTGCTCATTTAAATTATATCCACATCCCGTGAGGTGAGTTACAAAGCAATCCCAAACAAGTAAAAGAGGAGGAGCTAGAAATAGAACGTAATGTAAGTTCCACACGTCCACACGCAGTGGATGGTCCTGGGCTCCTGGAGACCCCTGATGTAAGTAATGATGGATGTAACAGCCCCCATTTATCAAGTGCATGCTCGGGACGGAGTAATTCACTTCATCCTTGAAACGACGCTATGTGACAGGTATTATCACTCACCCATTTTACAGATAAAGAAACTGCGGCACGGTGAAGGGAAGTACCCAGGTGCCCAAGGTCACAGGCAGGACGCGGTGCACGGAGCTGGGGGGCCACACCTCTCGTGATGAGGTCCCGCCTGTACAGCTCCCCTCTGCGTCCACACCCTCCTCTCCGCTCCCACTCACTCAGCCCCCCAACACCCCCGCGCTCACTGAGAGCAAGTGGGGGCTAGGAGATGCGAGGGCTCGGTGGGGATGCAGGACACCCAGAGACCCCGGGATGCCTCTGGGCTCCACATGGCATGTGCAGGGGACCCGAACGGTGCCATTCAGAGGCCCCTTGCAGGCTCCCAGGGGGGCAGAACTGTCACGCGAGACTCCCTCTTGTGGGCATGAAGCTAATCTACCAGGTTGGCCAAAATGTCTGTCACGTTTTTCCCACACAATGAGTGGCTCTAGTAGTACCCAGTTGTCTTTGACTTCACTTGAAGCAATGTTGTTAGACTGTATTGTGACAGCTGTCATATCAGCATGTGTCTAAAAAAACTGATCAAAATTGGTGAATTTCTGTGCAGCCACTTCGATACTAGAGATGGAAGAAAACACATGACATTTTCAGCATATGATGCTTTATTATTTCGAGAAAAGTGAAAACACCACTGAAGCACAAAACAACCTGTGCTATGGACAGAGAAGGTGCTGGGACTGATCGCACGTGTGAGAGTGGTTTGCCGAGTTTCTCGGTACTGCCGGCATTTCGGCCCAGTAACCCTTCGCTGTGGGGCTGTCTGATGCACTGGAAGGTGTTGAGCAGCGACCTGGAAGCCGATCGCAGGAGACAGTCAACATACTCAAAACACCCAAATCGATAAGTTACTGGTGAAAATGAAAAATGTGTCATTTATTTTACGGAAAAAACGTAGCGGATTTCTTGGCCTGCCTGGTAGATGACTGTGCCCTGCCCTTGACCCCTCCTCAAAGACAGTGGTGCTTTCCCATTTCGGG